CTTGAAAGTCACATCTCATTTGGGACTGATCTTGATATCAAGTAGTTTGATGATACGTTTACTTCAAACATGGGCCACAAACACTGAGAGCAAAGTTCCTGGCCTTCCGGCAATCTGATTTAAAACCCAGCTCTGAAGCCTTCTAGCTGTGTGAGTTTGGGCAATAACTTGCATTATTTTTTATACTTTGGAGTAAGTCTGTTATTAAACAATAAATATGGTTTTATCTAAATAAGTTTACATCAAGTCTATTTTCTAACCCAGGTGCCAACAGAGGATGCAGATTCTAATAGACATGCAGAGGCTCTCAATCAGACAAGCCCAGGTTCAATCCCAGCTCTTCCACTTAGTAGCAACTCACCTCAGACAAGCTATTTGTGTTCTATAAGTTCCATTTTCTTCATCTGTAAAATGGGGATAATAATTTCTTTCTTGAATGGTTGTGATTCAATGAGATAGCCTATATACTCAGCACGATTCTTCGCACACTGAAGTGCCCACTAACTGTTGGCTATGATTGTCGTTTGGATGCAGGAGGAAATGAGATGAATAAGACCCAGTTTCTACCCTCACATTACTCAGAAGAGCCCAGTGGGGCTGGAGAGAGACAGACCAGGCAGCAACTGTAACTGCAGTAAATCCAGAGGCAGACAGAAGTCCCCAATTCCACGTGGAAACTAAGTGAGAAATGGTCATATCTGCAGCTGGTGGGGCAGGGGTCGGAGGGATTTGGTGAGTTAAGGAAAGACTTCTGAGGAAAATGCTCTTTCAACCGTGTCTTGAATGAATAGGAATCCCTACGTGGTGGAAACAGCTAAGGCCCAGGCACAGTTATGCCAGCATGGGGCTTTGGGGACCAGATGCTGATGCTGCTGTTTGGAGCCTGGGAGACCACCCGTGAAGTCAGATGGGGGATGGGGAAGGGGGACGTCCACTGTGGGGAGGGGTTGGCTTATCAGTTAAGAGCTCTGACTCTGGAACCAAACTGCCCAGGTTTGAGTCCCGGCTTAGCAGCTTACTAGTTAGTGGCATGTCCTTGGGTAAAGTGATAACCTCTCTGTTCCTCAGTTTCCTCCTCTGTTAAAAGGGAGTGTGATGGCCTCTATCTCATAAGGTTATTATGAGGATTTAACAAATTCATGCGTGTTCGATGAATGTAGCTATTATGATTAATTATCATCATCCGTGACCACAGACAGCAGGACTAGGGAAGGCAGAAAGAGTGGCTTGACCTCTGGGGAGGAAGGATTGTTGTAAGCAGGCATAGCACAGCCCCTCGCTGCCACCACTCAGGGCACGGCTGAAAGCTGAACAGTGAGGGGCGACCCGGCATTCACCAAAGGCTGAAACTGCGTGGGACAGAGCGCCGTCCCACCTAGAGGATAAGCCCAGGCATGCTGGCTCCTGTGCCACACACCGTCATTCCATGTCCCAGCAGACAGGTCAGGATTAGCTTTCGGCCAGCCTTATTATCTCAGCCGTGGGAAGACCCTGAGCTAACACACAAGGAAGGAAAAATGAAGGGAGGCCGACCTTTTAAACAGGTACGATATCTTTAGAAGCATTTTGATCTTTTAAACAGGTACGATATCTTTGGAAGCATTTACTCGCATGTATAAGTTATGGTATACCTAATAAAACCTTCCACCACTTTAATTTACTAATCTTCACTGAGATAAAAATAAAAACTATAAACATATTCAAAATAAGCCTTGTGCCTTTCCCTGGTAGCTAAATAAATAATTGTATTCAAACTGAAGAACTGGTGAGAGTCCCACTGCAATGCTGCAGTTTAACAATTAAGCAATACTACCCCTTGCTTTCATCATTGAATTTTATAGAATATTTACTTGCTGGGAAGAGTTGAATCAGCCTGATGACATGAGTAATCTCAGATCTATGAAGGATATGGCTATTTATAATTCATGAATGTCCTTTAAAATAAGCTGCTTTTGCAATTAATACTAAATCTAACCTTGCTTTGTCTATAATTTCTAAAAATTTGATATCTGAATGTGATAACGGGTTGGCTGTTGCCACCAGCCTGGATGCGCTCGGTGTTATACTGTCCTCTTGTGGTGATTGTGGAAAACTGCAGTCTGCAAGTTTTTTCCTCTTTGATTTCTTGTTACATTATTTTGTCGTGCTTTACATATCCCTGTGAGCTGCCTTAAATTCTTTCTGGAACAAGGCAAAGTCTAAATAAATAGACAAGCAAACTTATAAAACGTAAGTGTTGCCTAGTGGGTAAAAGCATGGGTTGGGAAGTCCGTCTCCCTGACATGGGTATTACCCTAAGCAGGTAAATCCCAGCTTTTAAAGCCGGGGGAACCACCACAGGACTGTAGCCAGCTACTCCGGAGGCGGAGGTGTGAGGATCTCTTGAGCACCAGTGTTTGAGACCAGCCTGGTGAAGAAACAAACACAAATCCCGGCTCTGCCACTGAAAAGCGGCTGTGAGAACCTGGGCTAGCTGCTAGGGTGGAGGTGGGCTCTCTGTGCCCAGTTCCTCCTCTAAAACTTGAGGATAACAGCCTCCACTCCATAGTGTCAATGTAATGGAAAGCACTAGGGGCAGAGCTGGTCCATGGTAAGTGCCATGTAAAATGACAGCTATTGCTACTGCCTAAAAGGTACATAACAGCCCATTCCCAACTACAGTGTAACAGGAGTTGTAGTTGTCAGGGACCCACCATGTTCAGCCCAAGGAGCAGCTCCTTGGTAAGAATATTTGGCACAGTACAGAAACTGAAATCCCAACCAAGCCAACCCGTGATTATGTCTTTTTTCACCAAAGCAAGGAAGTCATGGACGTCACTATTGTACATGGGACCTTGCAGCACATCCTGTTTGGCCTCCTTGTTTTACAGTTATCACACAGAGAAGTGATAACTCAGTTCTCCCGATTCCCTTCCACCATGGGATAACTGCTCAGTGCTCTGAGTCCTGGTGAACACAAGGAATTTCCATGAAGAGGAAAGAACAAAGCTGTGACCAACCTGCCAGAAGTTACCTACCCCTGGTCTTGCCCGAGCCACCACAGAAGTTGCTGAGGAATGGCCCCCACGCAAGCCCATAGGCACAGACAGGAATAGAGCTTTAAAGGCAGGAAGGCTTTCCTACCCTACCTCACCCCCAGTTTTAGAAACGCAAACACTCTCGAGAAAGTAAGTGTAAGAACTAGCCCGGTTGAAGGATGACAGGGCAGTGGGTACTGAGAATGCTGGACAATTTATACTACTTGAGCTAACTGCAGTGTGAGGCAGGCTTTATAACGTAAGGCAGGCTATTATGTCTGATTCCATGGGCTCTGCAACATTTTTAGAATCCATGTCCTCCGTGATGGCCTGTGATGCGCCACCATGATCTGTCTTCAGACCTGACAACCCTCTCTGGAAATTGCCCTTGTTGAAGGTCATGCCCCTCGCCCAATGTTCAGACAATGCAAACATGTAAAGACCCAGCACCCCCAGAGCAAAAGGGCTCCAGAGCCCCCATGGGACGTGCTGAGGCCCTTGTTGAGATGGCATTACAGCCCAGCTGCCCCTCGCCCTCCTGCCTCCTTCCCTGGCATGGGTCTGACCCTATGAACACACCAGAAACTTCCTGCACATTTATCTCCACTTCCCAGAGAGACCAACCTTTATATTTTCTGATGTAAAAATCCCACACTTCACTCTTCTTGACTTTTTTGGGGGGCCTTTTTGGGAGGTAGGGGTCAATTTAAAATAAATCCATTGCATATTTAACCCCTACAATCTGAAGAGAGTGTGTACTTCATATCTAGCAAAACTATTTAAAATGCTCTTTGCCCTTTGCTGCCATCTAAATTATCCTCCATGTAAATGGCTGTTTCTCCCCAAGCCTAATTCCCATGGCCTGAATGCCTTGTCCCTCCAAAATTCATGATGAAATCCTAACTCCCAAGGTGATGGTATTAGGAGGTGGGGCCTTTTGGAGGTAATTAGAAGAAAAGGGCAGAGCCCTCATGATTGCAATTTGTGCCTTTATAACAGAGATCCTCCAAAGGGCTACTAGCTCACCCCTTCCACTGTGTGTGAACACAAGAAGGCATTGTCAATGAACCAGAAACCAGGCCCTCATCAGACACTGAATCTGCCGGAGCCTTGGTCTTCGACTTCCCAGCCTCTAGAACTGTGAAAAACAAATTTCTGTTGTTTATAAGCCACTCAGTTTAGGATATTTTTGTTATGGTGGCCTGAATGAACTAAGACAGAAATTTTTAGATATAACATATATATTTTTTTTTTCATTGTAAAAGCAAGACCTTTCAATACCCCCTCCCAGCATTCCCATGCCATGATTTTCAATTTGGGGCCCCCCTTCAGCTTCTGATACACTTTTAGGATGTTGAATCTCCCCTCCCTGACTTGAAAATCACTGCTATGTGCTACTTGCACATCTCAGCCATCAAGATTTTGAACAGCGTTAACTTTCTGCAGTCTATAATATAAAGCCCATTTTTTCGTTTTCCAAATGTAAGATAGTATTAGAATGCTGTCAAACGTCGTAGTTCATAGGGATTAACTAACAGGTATTTGGGAAGGAGAATGCAACCTAGTTTAAGGCATCTGAGAAAGGGAAAGAAGGGACTCTTATTCAAGTGAAAGAATTAATGTTTTAGAGTCAGAAATAGAAGCATTTATATAACTTGCAAAAGAAAGTTTCAGCATTCACAGTATATTTAAATAAATTTTAAAAGTAATCAAATATGAATCTCATGAATAATTAGGTTTTAGGTAATTTATATATAGGTTCAGGATGAAGGCCTTAAGTGAATCCCAAATCCTCAGGAACTATTCAGTAAACACAAGTTACCCCAAATTAGGCCACTCACGAGGCTTCCTGAAGGGAGATTTTAGGGCATATGGCCATGTGTCCCCAGGACACCAGGAGTCAGACTTCCAAGAGGGGAGCCCAAGGTCAGTTCAATCCCAATGTATCATTGGTTTTGAAATATGCTTTCAGAAGTTTTGAAATATGCTTTGAAGTGGGAAATTCATTCTAGAGCAGAAAAGTCCTCAAAAAATTAAACTTGAGATTTATTAAGAAATACAAATACTTTATTTGGCAGAGGATGGTATCTTCCAAAAGTTTCTGCTGGTTGTTGGAGGAGTTGTTGGTTATACATTCTTGAATAAAGAAACTAGAAAACTGAAAATGCAAGCCTACCTACCTTAGGAGATGAAAAGCAGTTATTTCAGGAAAAAAGAATTCTTATCACAAGGATAATGAGAAAAGGCAGGGTGAGAGAAACATACAAGAAGGGCAGGAACAACAGCAAGAACAAATAAACTATTGATCAGCAGGGTAAGAAGTATCAAAAAACAATCACAGAAGGAATAATAGGCAGGCTTCAAAAACTACAGCACTATACTTGTTGTATCATTGCAAATGCTTTTGGCCGCCAAGCAACAGAAAGCCCATAGGTATATTTTTCTCATATACCTTTCTCCTGTAGCAAGAAGTCTGGAGATAGGTCTTGCTGGTGGTGTTTCACAAACACCAGCAGTATCAGGGTGTGCATCCCTGGGATTCGATGCCTGTTCCTCATGGTCATAAGATGACTACTGTATGGCCACTCTTAACTGCAAAGTGGCCAGGGAGACAAAGGGGTTGGAAATGGAGGTAGGCAAGGCAACCAACCTTCTGTCACTGCACAAGAAAACTGGGCAAGTTGGGCTCTTCTGAAAGCAGAGAGCCTGGCAAAATGGGGGAGGTCTAGGGAAACATGGAAATTTTCATATCACATGAGTATGTGGGTGAAAAGGGACAAAATACCTATTGCAGATGTATGTGTTTCATTAGTATTATCCAAGAAACTCTACCTACAGAACTCCATCTCACAAAAATAGAGGTCAGATTTCACAAAGTAGCAAGAAAACATTTGCATTGCTACAAGACACAACCAAGTTCAAAAGGCATTTTATTTTACCCTCTATTTACAAAGAAACAGAGTACAAATGTAATAAGAAACAAAGGAACAAAAAATGACAGGCATACATATTTACATAGCAAATATAGGTAAAACTTGTCAAGAAGACTTTAAATATTTATTTCAGCATTTAACAAGAAAATAAGTTTCTCAGAATAATTTATCATCTCAGAAGTTTTAAAAGGCTCAACCTATATAATTTAAACTATGACTATCTTAATGAAAATGTATAATTTTATCCTCTTCGAAAATCTCCAAGTTGCTGGAAGACAAGTAAACCAGATCACTACCAATTGTTAAAAGATTCAAAGGTTCTTAAATTAAGAAATCATAATTGCTTAAGAAACTTATTTGAAGTATGTATTTGGCATGAGAGCTGAATAACATATTCATATTATTACCATACATTAAAAAAAAATCCAGACAGCTAACTATCATCAGTAGCCAGTTAACTGCTGGCTCTTCCAAAACCAGAAACAGGTATCCTTAAGAATCAAGACTCTTCAGACCTCTGAACTAACATATCCCAGTACACAGGCTTCATTTAACCTCATTCAACAGCAGAGAAGATCCTTTGAAATGCAGTGAAAGACAGGCTGGTGTTATTTCTGCAATCTTTCCATCCAAGTATAGACACAGCTCTTGCTGCTGACATCTTGGTCAACAGCTTTTGTGTTTCCCAGTTCTTTCTTTAGTTCAGTCCTTCTGACTGTGATGTGCAATCTGAAATAAAGCAAATGTTTAACACAGAAATTATTCTAATGTTAAAAAAAAAAAGACAAGTACCAGGTGACCCTTTGAGGTTTGACTCGTATTCAACAGCAAATAGCTGAGAGTCAGCTCTGCAGAGCCGAGTGAGACACTTGGCAGCACAGACTGAGCTCCCATCAACTACAATTTGAGTCCCTACGTGTCCAGCCTGAAATTTGGTGCTACAAAATATATAAAAAGAGACCATTCTTCCTCTAAAATGCTCGTAGTTGGTTGGAAAGAAAGCGCAAAGAGACACAAATAGCAAGCGGTGTATGACAACCCAGAGATACTGCATGTATCCACTATCACTGGGAAATAGTATGTTCCACCTAAGTGAACTTCTTAGATAACTTCAGGTTTTCAAACACCCTAGAATTTGTCTCTGCTCTCCCCCTTAGATGTGGGATTATGGGCTCTCGGAGGCTCATTTTCCTCACATGTAAAACAAGTAATATTCACCCTTTTTTTGGGATATTGCTGCAAAGATCAAATGACATGAGTGAAAACAGTACTTTACAAGTTGCTATCCAAATGTTAGAATTAAACATTTATTTTAGACACATTTGCATTTTTTATTGTAACAGTTTTAATGGAAACTACATACTTTTTGCCTTTCTAAATAGTTAAAAGAATATAATTCTGAGCCCACATGCTAAACATCAGATAAAGTGCACGCGCGCACACACACACACACACAGAGGCAACCTCAGAGTGGGCTTAGGACAACTCTCCTCGCTGTTACACTTCTCGAGGGCCACATGCATTTGAGTCTTCCAGTCTCTGCCTCGGTTGATGTGAGTCACGTCTCAATGCCGTCTACCTAACTTTAGACGCCGTCCTTCTTCCAGATTCCTCAGTCCCAAGGCTTATTCGTATATACTAGCTCAATTAAATTATGAGATGTGAAAAACACCCCCAAAATTAGAATTATTTCTATATATAAGAAAAGAGACTTCAAGTAAGGAGCAATCTGAAGATCAAGTGCTTGAAATATAGTGTATGTCTTTTTAAGCATCCAGTAAGTGTTGTCCTTAAAGGTAACTATGATCCCATTTGCTTTTTTAAAAGCACAGTTAACATTCTATTCAACTCAATAATCCAAAGTCTGTATGTGAGTGAGGAATTATTAGAGTATTCACATTCCATATGGTTAGGGTGAATATATTGCACCATTCTTTCCTGCTCCTCTCAAAGTTTCAAACACCCGGTTCACTGCAGACAACAACATCATGTTGGCACCTTTCTAGGATAAATCATTATAAACTTATACAGAAGTACTTTTCAAATCAAGCGTTTTAATTCAGAAGGCCTCATAAGGGCTAGAAGTGAAAATGAGTATGTAAATTAACAAAAACAACAGAAACATAAGCAGCATCAATAATTATATAGCCCATTCTGCTTAATTACTTAAAAGAGAACTTGAACGCAAAGCTATTGTCATGAACAGTACACCTGAGAACTGAAAAATGAATTTTACATTATTATAGCTTACCCTTGAAGTTTCTGGACTAGAAAATGGGGAAGACTCCCAAGATCTATTTTCTTTCTCAAAAGAATCATCTTCTTGGAAGGCAAATTTCTGCTTAAGTGCTTGAGATATTAAAGACACTGGATCCCATTGTGAACTTCGTCTTTTCCTTTTACGAATGGGTCTACCACCAGGTGACCTATTTTTTTAAAAAATTAAATAAACTAAAACTTTGATGTAATTTTAGCTCCTTGTTGACACACACAGCAGAAACACAGCATAATATATTACAATCTAATTAGTCTTCATGAGATTGAAGACTAATTAATCTTCAAGAAATTTTCACCATGGAATAAGGAATTTGGAAGGCACAATGATTAAGAATCAGAAAACCAAGAAACCACATGGGCTGGGGCTCTACCACAACCTTAGTATGCCCTGGGATTTGTCAAATATCACTGTGCTGAAGATCTGTATTAATTTTCTAATTTTCCAGTGGGTAGTAAAATTTGAAGAAATATTTAAGAAGCTTTAAAAGGATTAGAATTCATGAAAAGAAAACCATTAGGCTACTTGTTCATGTGTTTGGTCATTCATTCATTTCCTCTTTAATGAATGCCTACTATTCTATCAGGCTCCACTTTATGCTCGGGGGTACAATAGTATCGTGCTCCCATTCTGGTGGCAGGAGATCAATATACACATAAGCAAGATCATTTGGACAGTGGTAGGTGCTGTGAATAAAATAAAATAGGGAAATGTGATAGTGACCAGGGACAGAATCACAATAGATGAGATATGACCAGGAAAAGCCTCTTTAAGGAGGTGACATCCTCTTTAAGAAACTGACAAGAAGTCAATTTTAGTGTAAACACCTGCCTGGTGGATGCATCAGGAAGTTAGCCTGGCATGTGTGAGAAAAGGAAAAAGAAAACCAGGTATAGCTGGAGTGCAGTGGACAACATGGAAAGTAGGAGATGAGGTGCATGAGAGAAGTAAGGGCTGGATCCTGGAGGGCCTTGCAGCCTCAACAAGGGCTCTGGAATTGACTCTAAGCACCAAGGAAAACCCACGGAAGAGTTTGAAGCAGGGGAATGGCAAGATCTGACTTCAATTTTTAAAGGATCACTCTGGTCACTATAAGCAGAATAAGGAGGCAAAAATGAAAGAGAGCCCGATTAGGAGGCTATAGCAGAAGCCCATGCTAGAGAAGATGATGGCGTAGCCCGAGGAGGAGGCAGCGGAGATCAGGAGCAAACACAGAGCTGAGCCATATGCAGCTGGAAAGGATGTAAGATAGAAAGGAAAAGAAGAAACAAGGCTGATTCCTGGACACTGGGACTGAGCAAGTGGGTGATAGTGTTGCCATTTACTGAGACATGAAAGATGCGGGAAAGCTTACACAGACATCCTCAAACTACAGCCCGCAGGCCACGTGCCACCGCCGAGGACATTTATCCTGCCTGCTGGGTGTTTTTGCCGCTACTGCCTGTCCTGCTTAGCAGCCAACTCATTCTGAGCCCACAGTGTGCACTCTCCAATGATCTGAGGGACAGTGAACTGGCCCCTTGTTTAAAAAGTTTGAAGACCCCTGGCTTACAGCAATAAATACCTACATCAAAAAAGTAGAAAAACTTCAAATAAACAACCTAACAATGCATCTCAAAGAACTAGAAAAACAAGAGCAAACCAAACCCAAAATTAGTAGAAAAAAAGAAATAATAAAGATCAGAGCAGAAATAAATGAAACTGAAACCAAAAAAATACAAAAGATCAACAAAACAAAAAGTTGGTTTTTCAAAGAGATAAACAAAATTGACACACCTATTTAGCCCAAGTAAAAAAAGAGAGAATATGCAAATAAAAATCAAGAAATGAAAAACAAGACATTATAACTGATAATGTAGAAATCCAAAGGATCATTAGAGACTACTATGAGCAACTATATGCCAATAAATCAGAAAATCCAGAAGAAATGGATAAACTCCTAGACACATACAACCTACCAAAAATGAACCAGGAAGAAATCTGAATAAACCTGAATAAACCAATAACAATTAACAAGATAGAAGCAGTAATAAAATGTCGCCCATCAAAGAAAAGTCTAGAACTTGATGTCTTACACTGCTGAATTCTACCAAGCATTCAAAGAAGAACTAAGAGCAATCCTACTTAAACTCTTCCAAAAAATCAAGGAGAGATACTCCCAAACTCATTCTATGAGGCCTATATCACCTTGATACCAAAACCAAAGACACAACAAAAAAAGAAAACTACAGGTCAAGAACTGATGAACACAGATGTAAAAATCCTCAACAAAATAATAGCAAACTAAATTCAACAACAGATTAAAAAGATTATTCATCATGATCAAGTGAGATTCATCCCAAGGATGAAAGGATTGTTCAACACATACAAATCAATGTAATGCATCACACAACAGAACAAAGGACAAAAACCATATGATTATTTCAATTGATGCTGAAAAAGCATTCAATAAAATTCAACATCCCTTCATAATAAAAAACTGAGTAAAGAAAGAACTTACCTCAACATGATAAAAGTCATATATGACAAACCCACAACAAGTATCATACTGTATGGGGAAAAACTGAAAGCCTTTCCTCTAAGATCTGGAACAAGACAAGGATGCCCACTTTCACCACTATCACTCAACATAGTACTGCAAGTTCTAGCTACAGCAATCAGACAAGAGAAAGAAATAAAGGGCATCCAAATTGGAAAGGAAGAAGTCAAATTATCCTTGTTTGCAGACTATATAATCTTATATCTATAGAAACCTAAACATCCACAAAAAAACTATTAGAATTGATAAATTCAGTAAAGTTGCAGGATACAAAGTCAATATACAAAAATCAGCAGCATTTCTATATGCCAACAGTAAACAATCTGAAAAGGAAATCAAGAAAGTAATCCTATTTACAATAGTTACAAATAAAAAAAAAATACCTAGGAATAAACTTAACCGAAGAAGTGAAAGGTCTCTATAATGAAAACAGTAAAATACTGATGAAAGAAATTGAAGAGGACACAAAAAAGTGGAAAGATATTCCATGCTCGTGGATTGGAAGAATCAATATTGTTAAAATCTCCATACTACCCAAAGCAATATTATAAAGATTCAATGCAATCCCTATCAAAATACCAATGACATTCTTCACAGAAATAGAAAAAAATAATCCTAAAGAAGTGTATGTGTGTGTTGGGTAGAATATCTAATAGAATATGTTCCTGATCTTCTACAATGGGAAGTAAATATCATTAAAATATCAAGAAATAGCAAAAGTATGTTGTTTCAAAAAATATAGAGAAGAGACACTAGAAGAAATAGTCCAAAAAAACTGAAAGTGACTATGTCTGGGAGAGGTACTCAGGGTGAAGAAAAATAAGAAAAGGAATTACATATGTTAACTGTGATAAATACAATTTTTCTAAAAACATTATTGATAAAGGCTTAGTTCATTTCTCAAATTACAACAACATACCGTTCAATAGCACGAAGCTTAACCTTGTTCATATCCTTCAGAACATCCAGCATGTTTGGAACATCTTTATTTCTCTGGCTTTTTGAATGACTACAGTTGGTCTTACTAGCACCTGGGTGACGTTTGTTAATTTCAGTCACTGAATTATCTGAGTCACAAATATTATTAGATCCTGGTTGTGTGGGAAGAAAACATGGAGGCTGGAGAGAAGAAAGCTGAGGAGGAAGTGGTGGTGGAGGAGGAGGGGAGGAAAGCGCTGGACTTGGAAACTCATCTGGTTCCACACACAGCTGAGCAGCCCCCGATGATGGCATTTGTCCCAAACTTATGGTCCCATCATTCAAGTCCAAAGAGCCTAAAAACAAAGTAGTTAAAACATCCTGTGAAATTCTCAAGTCATAATGTAACACTAATAAGAACCAAAACAAGCCGGGCGCGGTGGCTCACACCTGTAATCCTAGCACTCTGGGAGGCTGAGGCGGGCGGATTGCTTGAGGTCAGAAGTTCGAAACCAGCCTGAGCAAGAGCGAGACCCTGTCTCTACTATAAACAGAAAGAAATTAATTGGCCAACTAATATATATAGAAAAAATTAGCTGAGCATGGTGGTACATGCCTGTAGTTCCAGCTACTTGGGAGGCTGAGGCAGGAGGATTGCTTGAGCCCAGGAGTTTGAGGTTGCTGTGAGCTAGGCTGACGCCACCACACTCACTCTAGCCTGGGCAACAAAGTGAGACTCAGAACCAAAACAGGGGCATTTCTGTAATGCTATTAAATATTAAAATAGCAGGAAGGAGAATCAATCCCATCTACTCAGTAACGTGTGTAAGAATTAGGCCCAACTATGAATTCAATTTTTAACTCAATTGGGAGTTTTCAGCATAGGCCCAAAGGGTAGGAGGGGAAGGAAAATACATTTTAAAGAGAAAATGAAAAGTGTTTTCCAGTAATTCACATATAATCTGAACTTCATCCTCCATTAAAAAAAAGGTAAAACACAATCAACAACTTGTTGATTGTTGTTGACTTGAGAAACACTCAAACTGAGACATCCACTCTATGACGACACTGGATAAACAAGCATATTATTTTCTAGGCAAGAACCTAAGATGGGTACTGAGTATTTAATTTTTTCATAATAGATTTGCTCCTAAAGGATTATCAATACAAATGATTGTTTTTTTAAAAAAGTATTTATTTATATATTTTATTTATTACATATAAATATAAATCATTGTATATTAATTCATACATAAATTATACTATAAATATATGTAATATGATTACATATTACATAAATTATGTGTGTATATATATGCATTTGTATATATACATTTATATAATTTGTCTTTGCAATCATATTTACACACAGCCCTTACAACCAAATCCATTGTGAAAAGCACTCAGTACCTATGTTGCTTTATATTTTATATACTCACATACATACAAGTATGTGTTTTTAAAGCAAGTTACATCTCTAAAAATTTAGAAAAGGATCATCTGGAAAACATTATTCAACTTGGTGGAAGTGTAGCAGCAATAACAAAAAACTATAACTATATGAGACCTCAAACCTATATTCTTCTTCTTTTTTTTTTTTTTTTTTTGAAACGGGGTCTTGCTCTGTCACCTGGGCTAAAGTGTTAAAGTGTAGTAGGGTTATCATAGCTCACTGCAACCTCAAACTCCTGGGCTCAGTGATCCTCTTGCCTCAGCCTCCCAAGTAGCTGGGACTACAGGTGTGTACCACCACATCTGGCTAATTTTTCTATTTTTTGTAGAGATGAAGTCTCACTCTTGCTCAGGCTGGTCTCAAACTCCTGTCCTCAAGTGATCCCCCTCTCCTGCCCCGGCCTCCCAAAGGGTTAGGATTACAGGGATGAGCCACCACACCTGGCCCCTATGCTCCTCTTTCAAACCAATGCACTCTTCCTGTTTAATTTCTAGTGCTTTTCTGAAGAGCTAGAAAAGCTTACTTAGAAGACATTTTTTAATACAAAAATACAATTTTCGGTAACATAGCTAGCTCTTCTTTAAGCCAAAGCCATCTCCCTCATTACAAAAAATGTGTCTTGATTTATTCTGAATAAGCATTAGGTATAATAATTTTATATACCCAACATCTTTTTATGATAAGTTTAATGTTGTTCACAGTTACTATTCAGAATTGGACTCACTTAAATACTGGATGTTACTATATGTAACATGGTGTATACAGCAATAGGCTATACCATGAGTATCATCTAACTCAAACAAAACTTCAAAGTTACTTACGATAATTTGCACTATTTTTCAGTTCTTGCATTTCCACAATTGCAGCAATCTGAGAGCGAAGAAAAGTGAGCTCATTTTCAAGGGCAGCTATTTTTTTAATTGCAGCTTCATTTACTGGCAGATCATTTTTTCCTGGTTTGTTATGTCTTAGAGCAGGTGACACTGGACCCCAAACTAGTGGCAAAGGATGGAAACATTCAATTTTCTCTTCTTCCCCATTTTCCCATATACTATTTCTGTGGGTGAAAGGAAGGCAGAAATAAAGGGAGGTATGTTTTCAATCCAAAGAAGAATAAACTCTTTCAGGAAAATCAAAAGACAACACAAATAAAATAAAGAGCAAAATAAAACAGAGCAACTCTCTCCCCTACAATTGTCTCTAGTCTCACTCTTCAGTGAGACTAGCACAAGCACATCTCATTTAGCTTTGCATTCTCAATTTGAAGGACAGACTGTAGCCTCTAATAGATGACCAATAAGTGGCCAGGGAATGAAAGAACAAACCTTGCTTTTAGGTTATAAAACAAAAACAATTATCCTGTAATTGCTCTACCTATTAACTTGAAACACAGAGAAGTTAATTTATTTAGAAATTCTACGTAAAGTACTACAGGGTCTTACATTCAAGATTACATTAGAGGTAAGTTTATAGTCTCCTTTTTGAAAATTGATAAACCAGTTTGATACAAGTTTAGCCAAAATATTTGAATAATTGACATGAATTGTGCTTATAGCCTGTATTTGAATATACTAACACATAGGTTAGTACTCCCCAGAAGTAACATATTCAAATTTTGAAATATATTTAAGATCATTGCCTGGTACATGGTAAGCACTATGTAAGTTTTGGCTAAAGATATGAAATATAATAAATCTAGTATCCAGTATAGAAAGTAGGATGAACACTATTCTGATATAACCTTAATAATCATTCCCTCCTAGGCCTGGTGTTAGGTTTAAATGTACATTAAGAAAAACTGGCTAAAAATTGAGAAACAACCAATTATCCTTATTAGGAAGATATTAGTAGGACATACCACAGTATAGAGATAAAGCAAAAAAGCTCAATCAATATGAATGTACTTCATGATATACAGTTGAACATTTGTCCGTTAAAAAAACTAATGGACGAACTGCAACACATGCAAGAATTCAGGTTATGGCCTATACCCCACTTCCCAAGATAAGCATTTAAAATTACCGAAATCTGAGATAACTGGATTCTTTATCATTAGCCACACACAAAACATCCGCAAAAGATGGAACAACAGATCCACAGTTATCAGAGTCCACAGAGTTCAAGAATGGGATCAACTAAAGTAAAAAGAAAAAAAAAAAGTCAGAGCTCTGCAGAAAGTCAGGGGAAGACAAATGCCTCATGGCATTAAATAAGTTAATCTAAAAGAAAAAGGATATTCAACAGAAAAACATGCATCTGTTAGCAAGAAAAAATACTGGGAAAAATTAAAGTCTAAGCATGCAGCAATATTCTCTCCCCTGGTTAATCTCATCTATCATAAAACAAAAAAGAAAAGAAGCTCCTTGGGTCTTGCTCACATCTGCCTATCTGTGACAATAATTGCAGTCATGCACGGCATAACATTTCGGCCAGTGATGGACCACACAGATATGGCATATACACAACACAATGTAGCTGAAAAATTCCTGTTGCCTAGTGTTTACTTTACTTGTTATTATTTTAGAGTGTACTCCTTCTACTTATTAAAAAAAACAAAACTGTAAAACAGCCTCAGGCAGGTCCTTCAAGAACCATTGTTACCAGAGGAGATGACAGTGCCATGCCTGTTATTGCCCCTGAAGAGCCTCCAGTGGGACAAGATGTGGAGGTGGAAGACAGTGATAATCCTGACCCTGAGTAGGCCTATGTTAATGTGTGTTTGTTTCGCACACTGACTTACCGAGAGCAATTTCCAGTGCTGTAAGCTGCATTCATGGTAAGTTCCCTATTCAAGCATACCATTTTTTATCTTTTATTCCATATTTATACTATACCTTTTCTATGTTTAAATGTTTAGATACACAAATACTTACCATTGTGTTACAGTTGCCTACAGTATTCAGTCCAGCAATATGCTGTACAAACGTGTAGCCTAGGAGCAACAGGCCATACCATACGGCCTAGGTGTGTAGTAAGCTATCTCATCTAGGTTTGTGTAAGTACATTCTATGATATGTTCACACAAGGACAAAATCACCTAATGATGCATTTCTTTGAATGTATCCTCACCTTTAAGTGACACATGATTGTATTTAAACAGATAAAACCCACAAAAACATATGTCAAATGACTTGTTTCCAGGGGTAAACTAAAGGTTTTTGGCTTGCAGGCAACATTTCTTCCTTTGTTGTTCTACCCTATATCCATAGGAGTACCTAGGATTATTTCACACAGTGCTTAAACAATGCATGTTGACTGACTTACCTCAAAATTAGGTCTTCGACAAGGTTCTAATGGCAGCATTTTCCCAATAATACGAACAATACTCCGGGTTGATCCATAGTCTTTATTCTCCCAAATCAGCAAAACCTATTTAAAGATAAAGCATCATTTTAAATGTACTCTCATTAAGCACATTTATACATCTATGAAAAGAGGGAGATATAAGAGATACAATAACATTTATTTTTAAAAGAAAATATAGAATGGTATACTCAAAGTATCTTCTTCAAAGAATTTTATTAATATTTGTCTTTTTTTAAAAAAGGATAGGAGTAAACATATATACATTCCAGGAAGATCTTTTTAAAAAGCACCATAATTCATTTTGTTCTATTTCTGATAATATCCAAATACCTTAAGGAACTTTGTTCATAAAAACTGCCTCCTCTGCCCCTACCTAAAAATCCCATCTTTTGGCCTAATCAAAAATTGACAATTTCAAGTTATCATACAATGAGGTCATACAGACTATTCTTACATAATTTCCTTTAAAGGAGAAATAAAAAGGTAAATAAAGAAATCAGGTCTTAGGCAATTCGAATAGTTATTTACATACAGAAGAATTTATCTGCTGGAAGTTTGTTCTTGAAAAGGTATTAGAAGTGAAACGTGCTATTATAACTCAAATATACTTGGTCCTTTAGCTTGGGCTTCCCATATTGGCGTAAACTATTGCCATAGGAATCTCCCCCACTAAAAAAAAAATAACAACATAATAAATTGGACTTTTCATCATTTTCCTAAGATCCCATAATAAGGACAAAGTTTAGGATGAGCAACAGATATAAGTACCATCCTCGTAAAAATATCCAAAAATAGTATATCTAGTAAGCAGACAGATAATACAATGAGGTCATTGTATTAGGACTAGGACTAAAACTGAGATTAGAAAAATGAATTTGGGAATCACTGACATACTGACCACATGATATTGGTAAAAATCAAAAGCATAGGCCTAGATAAGACTAGAAAAAAAAAGATTTGAAAGTCGTCAGCACATAATATCCTTCTGAAGAAAGTCAGGCCATTCCTCTGCTTTTAAATGACAACAGCTCTAAATTTATCTGATCAAATCCAAAGACTTGAGTCTAACATTGAATACTGACTCCATCACCAGTCTCACAGTCTTTCACCAATTTTGCCAGCCCAGTCTCCACAACATACTCTACATGTTCCATATTCAGAACACATAGAGTTCTGATCTAACCAGTTTCCACCTGTCTTTAAATAGCTAATTCATGTTCCTCTACAAATTTGATTATTTCTGCTCTCATGAGCTTAAATTCTATTCAGTTCTAAACTAGTTCCAATGAGTACCATACAATAGAGTATATAATTACATGTGACTTTGTTTTACTTGCAGTGGTCTCTCTCCATTAGACTGTGAGCCTGAAGGACAGAGACAGGCTTGTATTCATTTTGAATCCTTCAGGGAAGTAGTTATCAACCATGGGTATACTAGAATCACCTAAGAGGCTCTCCAAAAGAAATATAATACAAGCCACATAAGCAAACTAAATATTCTAGTAGTCAGATTTGAGAACAGAAACAGGTGAAATTAATTTTCTGAACATATTTTGTTGAACTCAATATGTATATACAGGTTGAATATTCCTTCTTCGAAATGCTTGGGATCAGAAGTGTTTCACATTTCAAATTTTGGAATATTTACATATACGTACATAATGAGATATATTGGGCATGGGATCCAGATCTAAACACAAAATTTATTTATGTTTTATATATACCTATACCTTATACACATAGTCTGAAGATAATTTTATATAATATTTTTAATAATTTTGTGCATGAAACAAAGTTTCATGCTTTGTATACACTGAACCATCAAAAAGCAGAGGGGTCACTAGTTCAGCCACTCATGTGGACAATCTACGGATGCTTGGCATCACCATCATTCCTGACTCCGAATTTATATGCTACTACTGATAAGCAATCATTTTCTTACATTTACTCACACATAAGTATTTTATAATAAAAAATATACTATTAATAAAGTAAAAAATGTGTTTAGGGTAACTAAGCAGCAGGGTAGCATCACCGGAATACTTGTATTATCATTTCAATAGGTAATTGATATTTTTTAAATCCTAGGATTATTTTACATTTTTTTCATGCTAAGTCTTCAAAATCCACCTATAGTAGATCTCAATTCAGACATTTCAAGTACTTAAAAGTAACATGTGGCCAATGGCTACCCTATCAGATAGCACAGCCTAGAAGATACAGATCCCAGACCTATTAAAAGTAGAATCTTTGGAGGCTTGATCACTTACATTTAAAGTATTCTATGGACCATTCCTATGCGCACCACTGCTACGAACCACAGGTCTAGAGGCTTTGCTACAATGAGGGCTACATATTGTGCATACAGAATCATCCTAGAGTTGGGGTAACTCTCAGTTAACTAGAATGATACCTTCCTATCTTGCTCTGCAGTTTCCATCCTGACAAACTCCTGTCCTCTTCTCTCACTCCTTCCTTACCAACAGCCATCTTCATGATTATTATGATTTCCTCTCTTTCCTCCATTCCTAGTCCAGCACCCATATTTTGACTTTACTGATTTCCCTACCAAGCATGGATTTTTCTGGTTAATTATTTCAGTGATATGTTCAGTGCCATTAAAAAATGGTTCATTCCTATGATATTATATATTCCCATACTGCTAATGAAGAAACTATCCTAACAACACTTAGCTAGAAAAAAAAATCACAAAACAATATTAAGAAAAACTATACATCCATGATGACTTCAGCTGGGTCCTCACAGGTATTCTGCAATCCCTTCATAACATGTTATGCACTATACTACATCACCCAGAGCAATCTCCAATCTGAAATCTCTAACACTACCACTTCCATTACCTGCAAGTGATCTTGTCTCTGTACTACCTACAGATCCAAGGATACTGTCTTAGATGTAAATGTTCAACAAGTAGACAAAATTGGATTTGCTTATAATACTCAGGTCTAAGTCATCCTCTCTCCTTCATATTTATTCTGGATTTGTTAATAAATTACCTTAAATAGAATGGTTTTATTTATCTAAGCAATAAGTGTAATTCTGTGAAAGTCATGTCTATATTTTGCTTCCTTTGTATCTTTTCTTGGCATTTGACCTATCAGGTAAATAGCTTCTCAATAATCCTATCCCTTTTTAGACTTAAACTATTTAATATCAAAGCTATACAATTGCAAACCCATTTTTGTTCCACCTAGTGAGAAGCAACAATTTCACCCTAAATTAAATGTTTACATATAAATCATTTTCAAAAGGAGACCCAAGAACAAATACAACAGATTCATTTAAATCCATTAAAAGCCATTTACCTGGTCTATGGGGACACCAAAATATTCCAGCATCCTTCTTAAGATATTCAATATGAAAGACATTGATGAAGCAAATACAGAAGCAAATTCAAGGAAACATAGTAAGTCTCTTGGTACCTTTGGGAAAAATTTTAGAAAATATTACTCTTGACAAATAAACAATTGCCACATAAATTGTATTCAATATCCTGAAAGAGTCCTTTCATTACACATTACACCATCAACTAATTTCTCCTGGCCAGCATTATTTTGAAGGAAGTTAGAGAAAGAAGAGAGGAGAGGAGAGAAGAGGTGGGGAGGGGAAGGGGAATGGAGGGGGAGAGGAAGAGGAGGGGAGGAAGAGAGGAAGGGGAGGAAAGAAAGGAAAAAGGGAAGAAGGAAGGGAGGAAGGAAAGAAATGAAAGAAAGAGGGGAGGGAAGGGAAGGAAGGAAGGAAGAAAAAAGAAAAGGAAAGAAAGAAAAGAAAAGAAAGAGGCTGGGGTAGAGGCAAAGGATTGTACAGGAAATTTTAATTTAGATATCAATCAACAACAGACTGAGTGAACATTTAGCATGGAAGGCTTCAAGTTGCTTTCGACGCAAAAGCTTGCTCTTTCCTAAAAGCTTCAGGCTGAGACTCTAGAGAGGGGTGAGTTCAGCTGACCCTTGCTTGAAAGCAGGCAAAGGCTCAACTCAAAAGTTTTAACAAAATGAACAGTAGCTCTCACAATCGTGTCGGAGTACCAACCATCCCTTAGCTCACTTCAAAGATAAGGAGCAAGAATCCCAGATAGGTAACGTTACGGAGTCACCCCACTGGTAAGAGGCCGCGACCAGAACCCGGTCGTGTCACTCGCTTTGGCCACAAGCTTCCTCCGGGGCTGTCCAAAACCAGCACGGTGGCCTTGCTCACCTTCCTCCGAAGCCTAGCCTCCCGGCAACACGAGAACATCAACGCGTTATGAATCGCTGTCTCGGAATCCCCAGTCGAAGAACTCCGGAGTGCGCTGGTCCTGGTTCAGGAGAGTTCAGACGTCCACCCCGCGTCCGCCCGCGCGCTCCGGCTTGCAGGCCACAAACAGCGACCACGGCCTCACCGAAGGGTATGAGGTCGACCCCGGGCTAGGCGCTGAGCTCCTAGCGCAGCCAGGGCAACTCCGCGGGGGCGCAGCCGCCTCCTTCCGCGCCCAACCAACCTACCGCTCGCCCCTACCTCAGGACGTACTTCCGCGTCCCTGGACGAAAATCAAACTCCGCGGGTCAAAACCCATATCTGACCTCATTGGACAAGGCTGAATATCGGGGCTTCTGATTGGCCGTTCCAAGACAACTGCCTATTCGTGGCAATTCGACCAGGCCATCGAAGCTACCATGTTTTTACTTCCCATGAGGGCGGGTCTTCCGCAAGGCAGCCAATAAAAGACAACAGGGCTGCTTGTGGGCGGGGCGGGGGCGGGCCACGCTGGGACGGTGACGCACGCGCAGGACACGGTTTTAGGTTTCTTAGGTGCTAAGTAGCGGTGTTGTTTAAGCCTGGCATTTTGGGGCTGTCGCAGGCCCGGGAGCTGGGCTCCCGATCTAGAGTTGTTGATCCACGCAGCTCTTTCACGGGGTGTCACCCACTCACTACAGCTGAACCCGGAGCGGGCCCGCCCTCCCTAGTTCTGCTGTATGCAGGGTCGCGATTCATTATTCAGTCATTCCACTCATTCATTCAGCGAGTATCTATTGCCTATGGGACTAACAGAAGCTAAGCATTACCCTCGAGGAAATCGATTTGCAGCTTTGCAGTAGTTAGGATTTTTCTTTCACGAAACACTCCTACTTATCCAGGCTACCAAATATGAGCCGGACAACTCCCCTGGCCTAGCGGAAGATGGCAAAGGGATAGCTATGTCATGACAGGTGAGATCTCAAGTTTTCCTTTTGATTTGAGGTTACTGGCCTCATACGAAATAGCTTCCTTTTCTCTTATTTCAGCAAGAGGTGCATTGGAGTGACATGACAACTTGGGATAATTGTGCCTGCTGCTGACCTAATAAAAAAAATGGGGAAAGTTTGAACTAATTTCTCCAGGGCCGACATTATTTATTCATTCAACTAATACTGCATGTCTGTTATATGCCAGGCACCATTCTAAGCATGAAAAATGCAGTAATGAGCAGGGAAGATCCTTCCCCTTTTGGAGCTTACATTGTAGTGGAGACCTCAGCTTTTTCTGAGCACCATACATAAATAGCTTCTCTCCTTTCTTACCCTTATTTCTCTTTATAGCACTTATCGCCATGTATATTTAATGCTCCCCTACCACCAAACTAAATTGTAAACTCCATGAGAACAGGAACTTTGTTTCGATCCATGCTGTATCCCCAGTGCTTTAGAAGAGTGTCTGGTATTTAATAGGCGATTCAATCTATTTATTTGATGGACAAAGTAATTGGATATAGGGTGAGAGAAAACAGATGATCAAGGATGATTTGGGACTAACCAACTGTCAAAACTATAGAAATTATAATGATATGCCCAGTAGTCTGAGCTGGATAAGCATGAAAGGAGGGGCAAGAGAAGGGTGATGCACAATGTAAAAGTAGAAGGAAAACGATCAGAAACCCTACATGGAATGAGTAAGTCATAATTTTCTCAAGTTCCTTGTTATTCCCTTTTGCCCTCATAAGTAAATAAATCATGACTTTACAACCATACCCCTTCTGTTCTCTTATCAAACAGCACATAATAGGGCCAGAATGAAAATATCCCTGAGGACAATAGAAACCACAACTCCAGCTGCACATAACTTAGCTCAACATTACAACTCTGATTTAGGTAGCAAGGTGGGCAAATGCTACATCCATGAATGATTTGCTGATAAGTTTCCCCTAAATTATTTCTTCAGAGATCCTTCTGGTATTTTGCTTACAGAAGCATTCATATTACATTTTGACAATAACTGTTTATGAAATTTGACATTAGTATTTTTATTGCTCATTTTTACATGAATTTAGATTTTCCTGAACTCTTAGAAGAGTTTAGGAAAGCTCTTCTGACTTCACAGAGCTAGACTTTCCGTTTTTGAGTAGTGTTCAAGAATATGGTGGCTTGCTTTGAGATTTTCCTGTGTTCCCCTCCCCCTTTATTCTTTATCCTGTTCAGTGTGACTTCAGCATCAGTATGGTCTCCTCAGTGTGGGGCCTTGTCTCTGGTGAGTCTTGGCAAGTCAGGTTTCAGAGCTCATTGGGGTAAACTACTTCAGCGGTCCTGTGGGCACTTGTGCCTCACTATAGAAGAGGATAAAATCCCAAAGTTTTAGCTTCTTCCCAGTGAATGGCTGTTGGCTAATTTAAGATTCTTCTGTTCTCCAGGCCGTCAGACACTGCCCCAATTCGTCCCTCTACTTTCATAAAAACCAATACCAGGCAGGCTGGTGATTTGTCTCCAATTGCTGATATTTGAAGGTTCATGGAAACAGCTTAACACCTAATTTTATTGCTAACTGCTGTCCATAGGTATTTGGTTTTGCTCTCTAGCTGCCAACATTTTTCCAGAATCACTTATACATTTTCTTATAGTTAATTATTATACTATGTTCTGGATCCTCATGACCATAAATGTTTTCTTCATCTTGGTACACCCAATGCCAGGCATAGTTTTTCAATGAATTCATGAATGGAGAGAGGCTAAGGACTGGTTTAGACAAAGGCTAGAAAGATACGTACTCAAGATCCAATTGCTCAGTGGAACCCCTACGACTTGTAACCCAAGTCTGGTGAACTCGAATTACTATAATTACCCTAATGGGGCAGAATACAACATTCTACCACAGTAGGAAATAGCCTCTCCAACATTAACCACAGGAGTCTCATGAAACGGTGATCCAAATTGAGAAGCACGCACCCAGAAAGGTCTTTTATGCCCCCAAGTTTTACATTTCAAAAAGAAGAAAAATACATATGCCTTTTTCCTTCTGCATTTCCTACACTTCAGGCTACTCAAAAGGAATACTTAAATCATGCCAGTGCAACTTTAAAGATTACACACGATAAGAGTTTCTTTATACCTTTATAATTATTCAAGCATAAATACTGTTTGAGACTAATTAAGAGCAAGATTCTTTGATATTAAAATGTTTCAAATTAAGTTATCCTGAAAAATTCCTCTGCTTTTTTGTATTGACAATAAAAAAAATTAGTGGAAACCACCGGTGAAACCAGCTACTTATATCTATTACCTACTATACATCACTACAATAGCAATTTATATAGTTTTAAAATTATAAAATCCAAGTTAAATGTTTAAACACTAAAGGCAGGACGTTTAAAAATCTGAACCTTTAAATGATAGATCTATATGAAATAAAGTTTAGGTTTTGCTTGACATTTGAATCAATAGGCCTTTATATTGTCTATAACTACTCACACTACTTTTAAATTGAACAAAAATATTACGCTATAGCTAAACCTCTCTAAAAGCATAAAAGTGAACTGCATGATTTTTTCCAGCCACATTATTTTTAGAACATTCATGACTTATTGATTCTGTCATCTGTTTTCTGATATATTCTTATGTTCACACGTAGAGATGCCTTGACTCCTGTCAATCACTTCAAAAGAGTTGGTTAAAACCTAGAACACCAAAAACAGTTTAAAGGATGTCCTTCCAGTCTCATTCTGCTTCTGGACCACCCATCCAGTCCAGTTATGCAGTAGGTCTCCTGATGTTTCCATTTCATTCTTCTCATGTTTAGTGATAATCAATCCAGATAATTTTATATATTGTCAGGGTCCAAATAACTTAATCTTACAGCTAATGTCAAATTATTTATCATCCAAAGATCTGGCATGTCATAAAGGATATGGCATAAAGTCTTAAGATTTAAAATAAATGCTGTATTGCTACACTTTTTTCTATGTTGTAATAGGAATGAACAACTTAAATTTTTAAAGTTACTACTCGCAATTTTAGTTGATAATGTCCAGTAAAGCAATAAAGCATAGCACTTTAGAGTACAATGCAGTGTGCAATCCAGATAACTAGAAAAAAATTCAGCCATCAGGTAACACAGCATGCCTGACAAGGAGCTAGCCAGATTCTCTATACCTCCACAAAAAACTGTGCTATTCACAAGCTGTGTTCTACTTTTTAAGTATCTAGTTGTTAAGTATCGGCTCATCATATTGAGCTAATAAAAATCTAAGCACCTATGATTTTATCTACTGGCTCTGTCCTCTAAATATAAAATGAGCAGACAGGACAAGGTGGTATCAAATACCATTCTCCTGGTCCTATGTGATTTGAATGACTCTTTCTGAGAAAGCTCTTTAAGTACTTGAATGTGGGTGTCATATCAAGATCTATCTCAGTAATCATTTTTCTACAATAAACTTACTTTTTCCAACTACTCACATGACATCACTTCAGACCTAAAGCTCCTAGATCTCTATCCTTTCAATATATTAAATGTTTTCTCTTAAGACATGGTACTCCAAAACAATATACAGGGTGACTTGAACAATAAATTAAAAAATAAACAATCTAACTTTTATGTTTATTGCAATCTGAACTCTCTCCTGTTTGGCACATCATTAAGACAGCCTACACTGCATTAAGTTTTAGCCACAGCCATAAAATTAACTGGCTTATTCCAATCAAAACCTCTATAAATATGCAGTTAGCATTCTTGTATTTTAACTCAGGGAGCATTTATTACATACCTATAGTATGTATGCTATTTGAAATGCTTAAGTGCTAAAATTTTATTCTGGCAAAGACACAATAAAAGAATCCTGTTTTGTACATTAATTCCCAATTATTTCTAGCCTAACTCATTCGATAAAGGATAGGGCTCACAGATACATAAAATACACATAAACATATAATATATATTTATATATGTAATGCATGAATAAAAATCAATCAGGAAAGCACACTGCCTTTTCTTGTTCACTGCTCCAGTGCCTACCTCATAGAATTGAATACTGATCAAACTAATGAAATAAGACAGAGCTTAAAAACTGCAATAAATACTCATGTAGCATTTGCTTTAAGACTATACATTCCAACCCAATTACTGTATAGATATATTCCTAACAATACCTGAAACACTACTGTATTCAGATTAAGACTGTTTTTAGGCCTCTTATTTATACCATTATACTCTGGCATTATGCCCTCAGCCAGCAGGAAAAAAGGTTACAAGAAACAGTCATGTGAAACACTGTTCTCATTCTAGGAATACTTACTCTATGAAAACATTTCTGACATCTTAATGAAAACCTTAGGACAAAGTATCTCTTGAGTTTTGGTATCAGGTATAGTAATGCTTCTTGGAAGTAGTTTCATTTTAGACATTGAAAATTGTGTACCTTATTTCTCTGATTTAGCTACTAGTGGCCAATTCAGGCTCTGATCATTTTCCTGTAGATTGTAGAGATGGACTATTTTAGCCAAATACCCATTTTCCCCAGGTAAATTGGACAACCAGAAAAGTATCTTGTTGCTCAAGAAAGGAATACAAGATAAAATCAAGATATAACAAATAATATTGTCCTGGGTGGGCCAGACAGCTAAATCTGTAACTACATTAAAATCCCTATGTCTTTTTTTTCCAAATATCTGATCTACCCACATCCCAACTATCTCATTTTCCAATTAAAAGTACAAATTCAATTACATTTTTTTTTTTGAGACAGGGTCTCGCTTTGTTGCCCGGGCTGGAGTGCAGTGGCCTCATCATACCTCACTGTAGCCTCAAAATCCTGGGTTCACACAATCCTCCTGCCTCAGCCTCCCAAGTAGCTAGGATTACAGGTGCACACCACTATGTCCAGCTAAATCTATTTTTTGTAGAGACACAGTCTTGCTGTGTTCCTCAGGCTGGTCTCGAACTCTTGGCAGAAATCCTCCTGCCTCAGCCCCTGGGATTACAGGTATGAGCCACCATGACCAGCCTATCTTCTGCATTTAAAACTGCTACACATATAACTAAAATGTTCACAGGAAAAACTTTCCTATGTACAGATTATTATAATTAAGACACACTTTCTTTTCTAATAGTGGTGGTGAAATGCTCTCCCAATGCCTGTTTCTTTTTTTTTAACAATGGGATCCATTTTTATAGCCTAGGGTTTAATTCATAAACAAAAACAGAACTGGCACCGTCAATTAAAAGTACAATTTTGGGCCCATCAGCACAACTGATACACTCTAATCATTATTGCAGGTTTCTAAAACATAAGGAGACCAGCTCATAAATCAACAAAATTGCTGAGGCTCTCATGTCAGATAATGGAATACAACAAATTTCCGTACATCCCTGAATTCTAAGAAACTTTAAAACTTGTTCATTTAGGCTGAGTATGGTGGCTCACGTTTACAATTCCAGCACTTTTAGAGGCCGAGGCAGGAGGGTCACTTGAGGCTCGGAAGTTCAAGACCAATCTGGGCAACGTAGCCAGATCCCATTCTCTACAAAAAAAATTTTTAAGAATTAGCTAGGCATGGTGGCACACACCTGTGGTCCTAGCTACTTGGGAGGCTCAGGCAGGAGAACTGCTTGAACCCAGGAGTCCAAGCTGGCAGTGAGTTGTGATTGCACCACTGCACTTCAACCTGGGAGACAAAAAACTTGTTCATTTAAAGCTCATTAAAATAGACTCCTAAGTTTTAGTATGTACACCAATAAAATGAATAAACCCTTGTCATTCAGATTTAACAATAGTGGGTTTCAGCTATTTGGGAATCCGAAACATATGTAATAGACATTACTCCCTAATTTTGAGGCATACTCAAGAGACTGAGTTTAGCTAAATTAATTCCATTACAATGAAATTTACTTCTCAATGTGCCTTTCCTGTTGAGCAGCTTCATATATCGGGAGGCCCTCTGTACTGCTCTTCTGAATGTGAAAGGATACTGTTCCATATGGAAATTTAAGGTATACGCCACCCCCCCAGGGTTCTAGTTGAAACTCAGCAAAAGAAGTTAAATGTCCCTAATAACACAGTATACTTTTATATAAAAAACATATATACAACATTAAAATCACCCAGTATATTTAAGCTACCAATGATCTTACCCATCCTTTTACACACACAGACACACAGTTCTTATTTATCTCACATTAATAGATAATTTGCCATTTGAGTCAAAATGTGTCGATCCATCTTAGCACACAAATTTCTGTGAAAATATTTTGTGTAAAGTTAATGGAATAACATGCTTTATATTTCAAATAATCTATAAAAGGAGCTTGGTAAGAATTATACCGGATCTTACTCAAAGTGAACAAAGACTAACTTAAAAAGACAATTCTTTTAGTTACTAACTAGCTACTATATTTTTAGAAAGGAAGAGAAGTAATCTCCATCATAATATTATGGCTGATAAGGTTCCATAGTAACACGGAAAAAGGACTAAACTAGAAATCTGGAATTCTTTTTTTTTTTTTAATAATGGCTTCCTTATTAAACTTATCAACTGTAAAATTTCCCATTTTCCCAGGGAAGACAAGAAAACATTAAAAAAAAATTTGAGGAATTTTATAAAACATTTATCAAGCCATACCACACCAGTAATTTTCCTAACAGATGAATTGATACTAGAAATAGGACACAGAAATGAGTTGTATAGAACAGACGTTAGGAATAATCTCAAAATCAGGTAAACAAACAACAGCTATTACCACTTATGACATTTTATTGGCATATGACAATTTACAAGGGTCCCTGTTGCATTATACATTACACTGAGTAAGAATCGTTTAGCCATCTACATTCATTCTTATTGGATATTTTTTTCTCAAATTATAATTAAATTCCCAACACTGATTTTACCTGTGATAATGGGAACAATAGTAATTCCTTGAAGTAGACTGTAACTGGAAAAACATATTTTACTTTTAATATAAAAATTCCTAGGATATTGAAAGGTATACATATATGCCTAAAACTGAGTCATGGCCTTCTTAAACAGCTTTATTAATTCTTTGTGGAAATATCCTTTGGTTCATTTTTATTTCCATTCTCTAGGCAAAACGAAGTCTGTTAATACAGGTTTACCAAACAGTTATTTCCTGGCACTTATAAACAAATATCCTTACTAAGAGGAACCGTTCAGCCTTTATAACATGTCATAGGTGTGAAGTTAAATTGTGGTTTAAAAAAATACACAGGCTACTTTTTATATGCTTGGCTCTGAAAAAGATAACATCCACAATGGCATTCTATTGTGGAGTTCTCACAATCACCCTGGCCTACTAGAATACAGTATGGTATGATACTCTTTCCTCAAGTTTGTTTAAGGGAATAGAAGTAACCAAAAGTTAAAGCAATGCATTTGTACTTAAAATATAACCTGCCCAAAGGAATTAAGTAACTTTATCTCTACTCTCTATTAAATAATTTTTCAGCGAATCCCTTTTCCTGTTGTCTTAAGTGGATAAACAAAACTCCACATTTACAGTCATGCATACAGATTTGATGTCTAACCAAACAACTGTTATATGTTTATTTGTATAAAATAAAATGGCCATGAAAATTCTGTGTTGGGGTTTACATCCATGTAGCTTTCACATGTAAGTATTATTCTAAATAGGGGAACATGAATTATGTCCTGATTAATTGCTTTGGCAGGTATTTCTTCTGCTTTATAGACAATTTTAAAAAGACAAATTAATGGGGTAAACCACATAATACTAACTATCTTAGGGCCATAGACATCACATATAGAGTTTGGTTTTAGTTTTGTTTCCAATAGCTCTTAATAAATGTCCCTGGCTATAATCAAGGTGCAGAGACACAAAGCAAATCACCAAAAGTACGGATAAAAGAGCCATACACCGAAGATCTTCAAAAGTTTACATTGACAGAATAAGCATTATCTTTTAATGCAAACAAACAATTCCATTGCTGAATTTACAAATGAAATGTGGCTAGTTTTGCATACGCTCATAAAGCAGACCAAACGTAACACTGAAATTTACTATTTCAGATTTTCATTCAAGAGTTATCAAATAAACATAAAAGGTAATTCACATTTGAAAGATTATCTACTGAAAGATAAACCCTTGAGAAGAAAAAGGAAAAGGCATTTTACAAACTGGCAACTAAAATAGGAGAAAAAATAAAAACCAAGTTAGATCAATGCTGGAACAAGCTTCCTGCCAAAACTTTTTATTGGTGACATTTGATAAACAAGTTACTTAAAATACTACTTATGAACAGCATGTTGTGTTTGCCTATTTTTTTCTTATGGTTATACTACAAACTAATGTTTCAGCTGTCTAAAAGCTCAAATGAATATGTAAGATATGAAATCAGGTTATTAAAGTATCAACTTATTCTGCAGGATAATCCTCCTCCATACCAATGCCAGGATTACAGGTTCTGTTCTGTTTTTTCATTATTAAGACATTTGGTAGGAATAGAGTTTTTATTTGCAATATTATTACAAACCAGTTTCCTCTTTCAAAAAGCTGAAATCTAAGACCATGACTCAAACTATCAAATAAGAATAGGAAGAACACTTAATATTGAACCCAAATAGGAAAGGCTTCCAAGAATGTTTTTTATAGGCCACTGCTTGTTTTCAGAAAAAAATAACATTTTCTCAAACTTTTCAATCTAATTTTTAATAGCTTGTACTTTTTAGCTATTGGAAAAGCTTGTTTTCCTTCTTAAACATTTTCTCGAGTGTTAAACTAGTGTAGTTTTACTGAAGTAACAACTTCATGGTATACTTCCAAAATTAGTCACCCTACAATGTAGTGTGTTCGAATTAAGCAGGTGTATACAGTTAAAATAATTAGTGTGGATTCTATAAACAATTTCTGTTCAGGGATTTGTATGTAGAGCTAACGTTTACTTCAGAATAAAACATTAACAAACAGGGAAGGAAGAGAATCAGAACTTTCACAGAGCTGTACTTGACCGTATCTTATAGACAAAGCAGAATTACAATGCATGTAACAAAAACGGTAAAAGTTTCTTTTTAAAAGTTGATAGTTACAAATATGGTACGTAACAATTTTCTACTTTATTTCAGTACAATTTTCAACATACAGTCTACTATTTCTCAAGATATTTGAAGACTTAAAACAAAATTTCTATAGACTACTTGCAAACAGTAAAATTTAAGTAAAATGCTTACATTCTTATTTGAAAACAAAAATCAGGTAAAAAAATGGTGGGTGCAAGTTCTGCTCTCTGTTGCAATCTTACTTCATATTTACTATTCCTAAAAAAGAACAGAAAAAGACATTATAAAAGATGTGAGGAGTGAAAGTGAACTATTAATAATCATTGTTCCTAAAAATTAAATAATTTTTAATAATTTGCCCACCAAACCCATACTAAAGAAAATCAGTCAGAACTACAGATTGAAATTTTCTACCTTTTCTTCCTTGCGTCTGTCCTTCTTTTCTTCATTATTTTCCAAGGTCTCTTCTTCATCTTCAACAATCCCATCCCCTTGGTATTTGTCATGAGTCCATTTTGGACTGCTACCTGATTTTTTGAAGTTAAAGCGCCCTCTGCCACGTTGAAAAGTACCACGACCTCTTCCTCTTTTGGCCCAATAATCCACACCATCATCTCTGTCATCATGCTACAGAAAAGTTAAAAATAATTGTCAATGAGATATCTTTCTTGTAAAAATGATGATTACTTCTTCAATCATAAGTCATGGTATTAACCTTCTTAAGACTGGGTAGATGACATTGGTCATAGTCTAAAACACAATGAAACCAGTAAAAATGAACTTTTCAAGACAAGTATATTCCATTGTCAAGAAGACTTATATCTTACTAGTTAAGTAACCCAAGCACTGAGGTTGCCCCAGAAAATTGTTTGAAGAATCTCAACTGCTAAATTACTGCTCATTTTCAGAATTGACTTTTTTCTTTCCATTATTATTTCAATCTAAGTCCATTTGTTACTGTGCTGCATGCAATGAGATAAAATAACCAATCTTTTCCCAACAAAATTGCCTTAATCATAAAGATGTGGCAAAAAGTTATAAAATGTCAATACATTATAAATAATGTTCACTAAATAGGTGGTATGAATTTTACACCTTACATATAAAGGCAGATTTTAAATTCCTACTGAGATTAAATCTAAATCAATATATAGTATTTATCAATCTTCTGGGCTAGGGAATTTTACTGACAAATAAAATGACATGGAGCCCAGAGTAACACCTAAGACCTTTTCTTCTTTACCACTCTGAAATACTGCAGCTATCACATTCCAAACTTAATTTTTCATTAACTGTATTTGAATACAGATGGTTCCCTAAATTACAAATTATTCTTTTAAGCAAAACAATCTGCAAAACTGAAAAGTACTTGACTTTCTAGATAAGTAGAGGTGAAGATTACATTCCAAAATACAAAAGGCCAAGTTCTCCTATATGTAATTTAATTAATTACTGTCCACCCTAAATTAGTAACGCTTAATCTGTTGCCCAAAAAAATGAGAAATAAGGCAAAATAATGCCCCTTTATGAGAAAACAAGTGTAATACAAACAGAATGCTGCATAACCTCTGGAGTACTGGTACTGATCAATTTTCCAAAAGCCACTAAAACTGCTCTTTAATGTGACATAATACTTATTTTTCCCAAGACATACATAGAGCATGTCTTTGGGTATATTCATTTAATATAGATTACCCTCATTCATGACCTGAAAAGCTCAATTATAGACTATACGAAAGAGCACTTACCAACTGTTAACAATTGACCTTTACCAAACCAATGAAAGATCACTAACTAGAGGCATACATGACTCCATAAACAACGAATTTCGGAACTACCAAAAATATATATTTAAATACATCAAAAAGAATTTAACTACAAACCCAAAATAAACTACTTTTAAATAGTCTGCCACCATTCAAAATGATACCTACTCAATTACATAATTTCATGTTCCCTTAATGCAATAACACACCCAACTCGAGTCTGTTTTTATTTGTTTGTTTGTGATATTTATTCAATATTCCATGGATTTTTGAGAATCAAAGGCAAAAAAGTTTTGGAGTAGAGCCATGCATTTAAATTTTAAAAGAAACTGTGTCTTTGGGCAACCTCTCTAGAATTTTACTTCCTCATTTTAATAAAGGGAGATAGCCTTGAGAAAACATAGGTTGGTAAAAAGTGCCTGGCCCAGTGTCTGATAAGCAAGATTCAATAAATGGTGGCAAGCACTGTTCTGAGCACTTTACATGTATTTACTCATCCAATCCTCACAACCACCCTGTAAAATGCTGTTACTTTTCTCATTTTAGAGATAAAGAAATTGAGGCACAGAGAAATTAAGTAACTTGCCAAAGCCACAAAGCTAGTCCTTTCCACTATCCTTTATAACCTCACCCATAAAATACATTTCCCAGACAACCTGGTGGCAGTAAATGATTACCACATACCAGGCAGCTAAGAGTTAGCAGAAACAGAGAAGGCAATGACAAAGCTAGATGCTACAGTTAAACTAGCCATTACTTTTAGACACACAATCATCTGAACCTTAGTAAAGAAAATAGCAGCTAGAAGATTAAGCTGTGTCTTTCACCAGAGTATCCTGGAAGCTACCAAGTGAGATTTTTTATGCTAAACATACCTTTAATCCTCAAATCTTATGTCCAAGATTTCAATCCCATTACAATTTTTTAAATTAAATGAATTATTTCACAGATGATAAAGGGCCAGAAGTTAAATATTTATACATACCCAAAACTATGTTAACAAAGTAGTCTGTATTAGAACCAAGACCTTCCAAATCCTCATATCTCTTCTGCATAGAATGTTCAAGTTTCAAAGGGTTAATTTATCAATACTCAGACAATTCTGAACCCCCTTCCCCACCAAAGATTTTCTCTTCCTGAGAAGACAACATCAACTCAACACTAAGAACCTGCCTACTTGAGTACTTTCCCATTTGCTCCAACTCTTCATACTCACCCCTCCATAGAATTTCAGGTTCTAACTAAAACTAGTATCTTTTCTGGAGTGTTTATTATTAAAACATTAGCATACCTTTATAGATATCCAAGTTTGGAGATGGGAAATTTCAGGAAAGAATGCAACAAAGGTTACTAAAATTCAGCACTGGAGAATGAATGGTACGGCACTTTCAGGACCCATGTTAAGTACTGGGTTCTAAAGCTCAATGCGCATGGTTTGAATTCTGATCCCACTCTTACTATAAGCCACACAATATTGGTGAAGCTACTCAATCTCTGTACCTCAGTATTCTCCATCTATAAAAATAGAATAGCCCCAAATTCAAAAGGATCTTATAAGCATTAAATAAGTTAATACATGTAAAACACTTAGAATAGCACCAAGCATAGTATATAATGTTCAATAAATGTTATTAACTAAGTTTAACTTTCATTGATATGGGCAAAATTTATTAAAGCTCTTTTCTTAAATTATAGTTGTTTCTTTTCCTGAATTATATTTATTTTCCCTCTACATTAGCTACCTGAAAGGTATCTTCACATAATATGCAAAATCTTTTAAATTCAAATATCCATGTAAAAACCAAACTTGCCATTTCAATGGCTCTTAAATAAAAACCAAAATAACTAACTTTGGGAATTAACTTATACGGAAAAAATATACTGTGTTAATTTTACTTGAAATTCAAGTAAACATCAGCCTGTGACAAATAAATTGTGTATGTTTTATATAGAGATCAAGATTTTTAAATATAATCCAGAATTGGCAACACATTAAGTATTACTGCTACTGGTAAGTGGCTAAATTATTAAAATAACACTCTTCTTGATTAACAAACTATTGCATAATTAAAAGCCAAACTGACTTATGTACCAATTTAAGGTAAAAACTATGATACCCGATTTTGAATGCACGCCATTGAAAAATGAAGGTCTTGCCTAAATTATATATTTATAAATTGTTAAAAGTGGTAAACAATTACTATCTACTTATTCATCTCTAATTGCCTCTTAATTTTCTGACCTTCCATACTTGTCTACTTCTCTGGCATTTTACTTTCCCATTCTTCCCCCTACCTTTAAAATGTTGACCTTTTAATCTCTTTCTCTTCTGATTAGGTGATCATATTACAGCTTTAATGATGATCTATAAAATGGTGACTCCTAGACTGTTTTGTCTATCTAAATCAGCATTAGCAACTACCCAATTCAACATCTCCACCTGGTTTCCTCCAGGCACTTCAAATTCAACCTGTCCAGAACAGAACTTTATCTTCTCTGCAAAGGGCTCCTTTCTTCTGGATTCCTTATCTTAGATCCCTCCTTCTCCTGACCAACATCCAACTAGTTAGTCCCTGAATAAATCCTTATAAATGCTACTTTAACTTTTCTCAAATATAGCCCTTAGTTCAGGCATTCAATCTCTCAAATCTAATGATTGTAACCACCATGATTTTTGTAAACACTGCATAAAACCGAAATTTATTAATAAAGTTTTCCACAATCTAACTCCTGCTTTTTCTCAATCTTCCCACAAACTTATACCCACCTTAGCCATTCAATACTGGAATTCTATCATGCTATTTCACTCCTTCTGTTATCTGCAGTATACCTGCCCATCTCTTAAGCTAAAGATTCAAGTTAAGTTCCTCTACAAAAGTCTCTCCTAAGCCTGGAGCAATGGCTCACACCTGTAATCCTAGCACTCTGGGAGGCCGAAGCGGGCGGATCACTCAAGGTCAAGGGTTCGAAACAAGCCTGAGCAAGATCCCATCTCCACTAAAAATAGAAATTTATTGGCCAACTAAAAATATATAGAAAAAATTAGCAGGGCATGGTGGCACATGCCTGGAGTCCCAGCTACTTGAGAGGCTGAGGCAGAAGGATCACTTGAGCCCAGGAGTTTGAGGTTGCTATGAGCTAGGCTGGCACCACGGCACTCTAGCCCAGGCAACAGAGTGAGACTCTGTCTCAAAAAAAAAAAAAAAAGTCTCTCCTAATCTCTCTCCTTTGCAAAACCCCACCAATTCCTCCTTTGGGAAAAGCCACCATACAATTTAGACTGTTTGTGTCTCTATTACTAGTCTCTAAGCCAAGAATTGGAATCTTATTTGTATGTCCATTCTTAGTCTAGAAAACACAAACAGGTGTCTGTTAATACAAATTCTTAAATCCAAAGTAGATGGATCATTTAAAGTTTTCTACACCTGAATCAAATGCCTTTTTGTTTCCAGATTGTCAATTCAAGAGACTCAACAAGCACAAATTTCTCCTCGTAAGAGTATAAATTAAACAAACATTTTTCATAATGGGAACAGATGTAACTTTTTTGGTTTCTTGGTCATTAACATACCAAAAAAGGCAAATGGAAATTCATTTTTGAAATAAGTATATTGCCTATTTTCCAAACAAAACAGAGATCCACTTCAGAATACACCTATAACCTTTAACTAAGCAGTTATATCATAGACATTCAGGTCTATTCAAATGTATTCATAAAAAGTCCTCTGAAAGACACAAACTATTTTCCTCCTTGAAAGCAACTAGTTTTCAGAAGTAGTCCCTGAAATAGAAATTCCCCAAAAAGCTGTTCAAAAATGAGTACTTTTGGTAATAGTTTTGGTATTTTCTTAAGTCTGCTCCTATACTGCATGAAGAACCCTTTTCCCCATTCCAAACTGCAGAAAATGTCCATCCTTCTCCAGAGAATGTTTCAGACCCACCAACTCTAGTTTCATACTTGGAAAACTACTTCAGAGGAAAAGTATCTCTGACATAAGGAAGCACCAAATAAGTATACCTAGTAGCTTCTCCATAATGTAATTTTTCTTTTTTTTTTTTAATAATGTAATTTTTCATCGTCCTTTTACTCTAATGAAAGTTGACGGCTTGCCTGAGATCCTTAATTACAAATACTATGGAAGAATTCTTCTCCTTGTCTTTCATTTAAACAACTGTCTGTGAAGATGGAAGGTATATCTTAATGTGAAATTTCTACAACCATCACTGTCTTATAGACAGATATGAAACATACATTAAGCTCAACTCTAATATTCTTCTCTGAATGTAGCTATAAAATCAGGTATATTTTTAGTTTACCCTGATCAGCCTATATGCAATGTCAAGGAAGTATATACAAGACTAAAGGGACCCACATTTTCCAAACTTCAAATCACCTGGATAATAAATTTTTAAAAAGGTTTCCCACGTTATGGTGAAATCTTCTCATAGTAATGGGTATCTGTACTCAAATGTATTCACCTAGTATGTTTTGAAAATTAATGCAAACCAAATAAACAGATTTCTAACACCCACCAAGAAGTACTTCTTGCTCTTTGGGGTATATTCTGGATCCCATTCCTCTTCCTTCGGTCTCTTTTGAAAAGTAGTATTTGAGTTGTTTGGACCAGTATTTGTCCCAGCAAAAACTCCTCTGGCTCTTCCTCTGCCTCTAATTCGAAACTGATTAACATTAACAAAGTTGTTTAGTGATGCAATAAAAGGTATTTAGTTACATGCAAACTCTAATTTTACTGCAGTAACAAAAAAACATATGCCCTAATTTTCTACCTAAATCTCATAGCCACTGAGGATGGAAAGGATGGCCATTTTATACCGTAGGCAAAAAAATTCTCCTACTGAAAGTTGAGTAGGTTAAGAGGAAATGAACAATCAACCTAAGGGTCAGAATATCACACTTTCATGGCCTAAACTAGTATTTTAAAATAATCAAGTTGGTTTTTTTACCTTTTTACTAGCCAGTAGTTGTCTAATTCCTTTGAATTACCATAAATACCCCAAGTGTTCAACCATACCTATCACCATATATGTAAACAAAGCTCTTCTCTTCCCCCAAATGATCTAATTAATGAATTCTAACCAATACCTAACTAGATACTTGCTCAAGGTAGGAGTCTGAATCTAGAAATTAAAAAGGCAAGAAGATGCACTACTATGAAGTCATTAAATAATTATAATGACTTACGGAAACATGGGGATAATGTATATCCTATGTAGAATAAAAAGAAAATTTATATGATTTCTATGATAGATACATACATAAACAAAGATTTGAAGAAAACAGGCAAAAATGAAAATAGCTGTAACACAGACATGAACATCCAGATTTCTTAATGTTTTAAGGTATCTTTTCAAAAAGTAAGTGATTACAGAAATGTATCTCAATAGTTTTCCTCGACTCTTGGGTCTTTAAGGTAGTATGTACATTACTGATCTCAAAATGAAGAAAACCAGTTTACAAAGATGTTTCTAGATCTCAAAATGGCATTTCTTAATGAAGACAATACTTCAAATACTTCATTTTTCAAGACTAACTCTGACTTTAGGAATAATGACTTATACAACAGACAATCTCTGAATCATGTATTTGGCTTTCCTTTTATATAGTACTCTAAGGTAAAGTCTTATCAAAGATAATTTTATTACTTACAAAGGTTCCTCGTGGTCGGCTAACTCCTGCAAAGCCTGAGTATTCTTTCAGTTCATGGTGAGTTTTAAATTCTTCTTCTCTTTCCTTCTTACTCTCCTTTTCTTCTCGAGAACTGGGAGAAGAAGGTGATGCTGAAGAGGATGAAGATCGAGAATGATCTTGCTCTCTACTTTTATGTTTACTGCAAAATAAAGAACACACACCAAAAATGCTATTTTTAAAAAGATAAAGACCCAGCTGAAACTTACAATAAAAGGGATATTTTTTAAGTCAAAAAACTATCCCCTAGTAAAATTATTACATAAGTAAAATAATTGGGTGTTTGACACAGTCTGTTTCCATTTCTCCTCCAATATTTGTTTTACATCACTACTGAAAAGCATGCTATGGCCTGCCAATTAGAAACTAGTAGTCTGTAAGCTTCAAGAATAAGGTTTAGTTCTTCAATATTTTTAAGTTAACTTATATAATCTTTTATTATTTTAACAAAATGAAAAGAAGAGTAGCAACAAGAATGTTCTTAAGGCCAAGTTTCAAAATGACTGCAGTTTGTACACCCTGGGTGAAAACAGTTGGTATGATATGGGCCATAATTATCATTATTGAAATAAAAAGCATGACATTACAAAGAACAGTAATAAATTTAAAAACACAAGTAAAATCCACCATTTACCTAATGAATAGCAAGGAAAAGAGATTATCTATAATACTTTGTATTCCTATTTAACTTTATGATGATCAAATTTTACGAGACTCTAATGCAACACTCGAAAAGGTCATACCTGCTGTAACTCTTACCACTGCTAACAGTATCCATGGAAATATTATTTTGAAAGACTAATGCACATTTATATTTCTAGTCCTTCCTCCCCCCATCTCTCCCATGTTAAACCACTAGATATCAGTTTATAATTCTTGTACTCTGGGTGTTATGAGTTGAAAAAGTGCGGAATCAAGCATAACGAACCAAAGTTCTTACACAAACTGTTTCTAGAAATGCACTGCATTGAAGTCCAACCTCCTGATGTAGCCTGGATAATAGGACACATTAATTTGTCATTTTTTTTTTCAGTGTTAGCTTGCTATTCCAAAGTTTTTGTCCTCATCCACCATAAGCCGTGTAAAAGACAAATACATTTTTGCTGTAAAACAAATAATTTTAATTGTTTAAATTTAAACATTCGATTACACAGTCAAAATTGAAAGCAATTAAGCTGACAATTATTAAAGGCTAATTAGAAGCTAAAACCTAACTCAAGACAGTTTTAACAATTACCTGTCATCTTTGTAAGATTTGTATTCCTTGTAATCTTTTGAAGTTTTTTCTTGCTTTCTTGATCCACTGGATTCCCTGGAGCCCTTGGAATCCCCCCGTTCTTTACTTCTTTCTTTTCTACGGCGATCAATGTCATGCCGAAGATCAGCAGAGTCACACCTTAATTTTTTATCTCCCTATAGAAAGACAGATGCAAAATACAGAGTTGAGGGGAGAAATAGAAAAAAACATAGCAAGAGTTAAATTTTATGCCAGTTTATAAACCGGCATTTTGGTATCAGAAAAAAATGGATCATATACTATTAAGTTTTTGTTTAAAAAATATACTTGATTGTTTTTCCTAAACATTTGTGTACATTTAGTGCAGTGGGACTGGAGAAGTTTCTAACAGCTATTTATCTTGAGAATTTTATAGATACTCAAAACAATCTATAATAAACTTTTGTACAGTAAAATGATACAAACATTTTTCCACTCAGCACATCCTCATTATTATCCCTCATCCTTCCAAATGTTGTTTTTTTTTAATAGTTGAACAGTGACAGAGGTTATAATCTATAGTTGTGAAATAGCCTTCCACCTATAAAGTTAAGGGATCCTAACATAAATTCTCATTATTAAGCCTCATTATCATCAAGCTCTTCCCAAATAATTTGACCAACCCAATTAAAAAAACAGTTCAAAAGAATTCTGTAATTTCTATAACATGCAAGTGGAATATGATTAATGAAACCAATTGAGGTTGAACAAGGGTAGAAACAAAGCCAGAAAGATATTATTCGTAATCCTGTACTCAGTATCTTGGGCCATATACTGCCCTTTCTCAATTCAGGTATTGCAACGGACATTAGTTTAAACTGGGTCACAATTCACCTCCTTCTTGTTCCATTGCTTTTTCAAATACTATATAATTTAGGAAGATGGAAAGAGGCATCTAGGAATGAAGAGAAATTATACATCAGTAAGATGCTAAGCAATGTGGACATCCTTGCTAGTATTCAACAATAAGAAGTATTTATTCTGGGAAGTCTAGTTATAATATTCATAAGCATTCATAAAACTGAGAGTATGTATATATCTCCAAATGATATCAACTACTTACCTATTTGCTCCCAGGGTATTAAAGAAAAACTCTAATCAAGAACATAAAACTTCCTGTTCACCTAGGTATTACCAAGTCCACAAGTAACAAGATAACGTAAGTGAAACTACCTTGTAAACTACAAACTACATATACATATATATATTAATTACACATTAACATGTGTTAATTCTTCATTAATATAGGAAGATGAAGGATAAAAACCAATGTCATATCCTCTTGTCCATCCAAAAGTCAACCTTACTTCTCCTCCTCCAGATCAAAATCCGGTTTAAGTAATGAGAGAAGTAAGATACTCACTGTCAGAGCATGAGGATAGACAAAACCATCAGGAAAACAAAATTAACCAACATTGAACCCAAGGCATAAAGTTAAAAGCCAAAAAAGTATTCACTTCTCAGAATCTTTTTCAAATCAATATGCCCCATGCAAAGTAATCATTTTCTTTGTAAGCTCCAGATTCCACATCCAATAAATTAACAGCACACCCTATTAAATAATTTGTATACTACCATCATCAATAACAGCTTGTAATAACAGAAGTTCCATTGTTTTCAAGATAGCCCAATTATTCAACAACTCTACAAATGTATTCTCATTTTTCTCATTAGAAAACAAAGGTTAAATTATTTTCCAAATATCATATAGATGGTATTTACTGATAGCCAGAAATTGAACCAAATGGTACTCCCAAGTTTCCTAATCTTTTCAAAACAATGGATAGTTGCTCCCATTCTATCAATTTTGAATTATCAGAGTATAACAGAGTCCCCTTAACCACAAAATTCCATTCTCACCAAGCCCTCTAAAAGCCTTTCACACGCTGCTTTCTCAAGTTTAAAAGCCATTCCCCTCACCTACAAGTATTCCAATAGTGACAAACAAGTTTTTGCTCAAAATAAATCAGCTCTTAGAATTTGTATTTCATAATTCACATAAAAATGCCCATTAGGCTGGGTATTACTCCTTTTTATCTGTGAAGAACCTGGAGATAATTAATTCAGGCACATATAAAACCATAGAATATTTATTCTGGCTTATCAATCTCACCTCAAAACTCTAATAAAATTTGTATCTCTTTTTTTCCCTTGGTCTACACCCACTGATTCTTTACCCTTTCCTTAAGACTAATTTTTTCCTTTCACTAGCATTTTCAAAAAGTACTCTTCGTTTAACTTATAGTGTCAGCTTAATTCTTCTAGGAAGGAACACTACGTACACTATCATAAATATATACAATGTATTTACAATTGAAAGATAGCTGTAAACAATCTGCCCTGCGAAACTGTATTTAGTATATTAAGCAAGCCGAATTTAACAAGAAGAAAAAATGCACTAACATACCTTTTGATTTTCTTCTTTAAAAACTCTCTCTTCCCCTGCTAAACGGGTATGCTTCCTCAGGGCGCTTGGAGAGATGTCAATTCTCCTTAACATAAAATAAAGTGTATTTGTAGTCATACTATTAACTGTATGGTTCACAAAAATCCACGGTACTGCTCATTTTCATAAGACACAATCACTTCTCTCTCAATCAACTATTTTAGCACAGTAAGACTATTAATCTAATTCCTAATAAACAAGAATAACTATATCCATTAAAAATGAATTAGAATGCTTCGACCAGATATTTTTTACATTGAAATGAAGCCTGACCTTTTAAAACATCAAACTATGTTAGCCATCAAAAATAGAAAGATGTGGCTCACAACTGTAATCCTAGCACTCTGGGAAGCCAAGGTGAGAGGGTTGCTTGAAGTCAAGAGTTCGACACCAGCCTGAGCAAGAGCGAGACCCCGTCTCTACCAAAAATAGAAAAAATTAACCAGGTGTGGTGGTGCACACCTATAGTCCCAGTTACTTGGGAGGCGGAAGCAGGAGGATTGCTTGAGCCCAGGAGTTTGAGGTTGCTGTGAGCTATGATGACACTACTGCACTCCAGCCTGGGCTGGAGACTGTCTCAAAAAAAAAAAAAAGAAGAAGAGGAAGAGAAGACAGAGAAAAAGGAGGAGGAGGAGGAAAGGAAAAGAAAATCAAAACAGGCGCAGTGGCTCACACCTATAATCCCAGCACTTTGGGAGGCTAAGGCAGGAGGATCACTTGAGACCACAAGTTCAAGAGCAGCCTGGGCAATATAGCAAAAACTTGCCTCTACCAAAAAAATAAGAAAAACTAACCAGGTGCAGTGGCTCATGACTATAGTCCTAGCTACTCTACTAAGGAGGCTGAGACAGGAGGATTGTTTAAGCCCAGAAGTTCAAGGCTGCGGTGTGCTACAATCCAGCACTGCACTATAGCCTGAACAAGAGAGCAAGACCCTGCCTCTAAAAAAAAAAGAAAATAGAAAAAGATACATACAAAAAAAAGTGTTTTGATTAAAGTTGAATATTAAATGTCAATCATCATGCAATACATCAAAACATCTTCAATGAACACACATGAATAGGATTATTTACTCCTAAACAGTCTTCAGTATTTTTACATATTCGGTGTACCTCTGGTTTCATTCTGTGCCTTTCTTTTTTAACCTAGTATGAATTGCAACTTCCTAGTGCTTTTTATCAGTTCTGACCAAAACCATACCAACTATGTGATGTGTGCTAAGTATTACGTGAGACACTTTATAGCCAATATCACTTTCACCACTACCCTGGCAAAGTGGGATTATCTTTATTTTGTAGATGAAAAAACATATCCAGATATTAAATAACCTGTTCATCACAATGGAATGAAGTGACAAAGTCAGGATTTCAACACAATTGTCTGACTTCCATGTTTATGTTCTTTTCATGAAAAACAGTTCTACCTCTCATCAGGCATTTTTATTTCACAAACCTAGCAGAAGTAAATTCAAAGATTACTCTAGGCATCTATCCCCACCAAATACCAAATGAACTGATAATTATTTAACTCCATACTACAGAGTGGTAAGAGTATTTTAAGTTTTAACAACCAGTGTAAACCAAGTAAACTAAAAACTAAATTATAAAATTTTCAAAACTTAGAAATATATTTATTCAAAGTATAAACGAGGCATAAAACTGAAGTTTTTATTTGTATCATGATGATAGCAAACTTCCAATATAATCCTGTTTCATATGTCTTCCTATCAAAACAACATTTTTACATATTAAGTCAATAGTACACATACCTGTGTATCTCAGGACTCTTTTGCCGGGTACTATGTTCTTCAGTGGCTTTCTGATACGAAGTGAACCGCTCGTTTAGGGTCATTGCAGGTGATTTGAAGTATTGCTCTGTTGATTTAGGAGAAATACTGTCCAGTTAGTTATCTTTACTTTAACAGGGATTTTCATTTGTGACAGAAGGGCATGTAGCAGGTGAAAAGAAATTAAAAATATTCAAGAAACCTAGCAAAAAAGAATCAAGTGTTACAAAGAACTCCTACTCTTTCCCTTTTAACTTCTTATACCTCACAGGTAAGAAATCGCAAAATTTCTCACAAGTCCCTGTCAATACTACGTATAATCCAAGAACGATTAATAGATTAAAATCAGGAGTCACTAATTTCATTTCACTAGTGCACTACTTCCTCAAACAGAACAAAAAGAAATACTATGTGGATGTCCTCATACCTTGCCAATATGAACCAATGACGTTACTTCAAATGACCGTTTGCAGAAAACAAAAATTAACAAATATGGAATTACTACAAAGCTGGTTTGAATAAATAAATTTCATTGAGAGCTATGTTGACATATCAACAGAAATGGATTCAAGAAAAAAATAAATACTATCTATCATTCAACTAGAAAAATTATTTTTAAATTCATTAACATTCACTAATTACTCCAAAAATCTGGCGTCTTGGCAAACCTGACAGCACAGTTGATATTGTTGTCTTGTCTTTCTTTAAACAATTTTAAAATTAGTAATATCAATACTGATTAGTTTTTAAACCAGTTTAAGATATGCTGTAAATGTAAAACAGACGTATAAAGTCATGAGCTATGAAATGTTACATTATGAAGCAAGCTATCTGCTTAACAGGTCAACATACATCTGTGTCAACTTACCGCCCAATATCCAGCACATGTCTCATAACCAATCATTAAAACTTGAAACGGCCACTACAAGGGTAGTGCCTCAATCATAATTCCATGAAACCCAGGAATTTGAGCTAGCAACTCAGTTTTTATGCCATTTTTGCCAGGAAGACAGAAGGTTCAACTTTGCCTGTATCTTTCAACAGCTATTTTACTTTGAAACATGGATTTTGCCATTTCAAAACATATTCCAGGACCTAGTTACAATGAAAAAGAAAACATCACTGGGCATTTTCAGCTCTATATAAAGAAAGAGCTGTTCAGATCGGTTGCATAATACCAATTATGAAACATAACTACAGTTCTTTTTAAAAAAGAAAAAGAAAATGAAAAAGTAAAAAAATGTATCAAAACCTGATCTCAAAATTCAGCAATAAATTATAAAATGTGGAGACAGGTCAAAAAAAGGTGAAAAAATTTAAAAATTATTAATGTTTCATATTTTATGTACCACAATAGTATGGTCATAAACTGGTTCACAAACCTACTTATAGCCAAATAGCAAAACTCTTTTATTATCATGTTTAAATTATTACAGCCAAAAAGAAATCCGTTAACTATTTGCTATTTTGAAATATCAAGTGCACAAAGAATTGCTGGTGACAAGTTTATTACAGAGTTGTTCTCATGTCAAAACACAAACTTTTAAAAAGGATGGAAGAGGCTTTTAAGACCAACAGCCACGGAGGTTCCTGGGAAAGAACCTGTTTCATAGTAAGCTGCCTTTTAAGCACAAAAACAAAATTATAAAAGCAAAATTTTATCTAACTGCCCAAAAAAGTCATTCACCCTAAAACCTTTGAAAACTATCAGCAACTTTGAAACTACAATTAAATACTAGTGAAAAGAAAAAATCATTACTTTAGCTAAAATAAACATCCTTATTTTTAGGACCTAATGAAATATCATAATTATTGTATTAATTAGTCACTACCCATGTAATCACTACTTAGCTAATATACTTTTAAATTTCTTAAACTTTTTTCCCCTTTAAAAATCCTGACTAAATTTTCTTCTGGTTTATTCATCACCACTTTAAAAATTTTGTAACAAATTTAGCACAAAAAGATAGAAAGTTAATATTGTTTTTCCACCAGTTTCACATTTCTTTTGAAAGATGAAAAGAAATTTTTAGTAAATAATATTCAGTAACAACACTGCCTTCACTTTGTTATAAATATGTGCCAAGAGTACATTAACCACAAGTTATAGGCATACAATGAAAAATAATCTGTAAGCATTCTACACTTCAAATACACAGTGACGCATTTTAAAAACACTTTACAAAACACTTTAAACAAATCTATATATTATGTTTTATCATGATATACTTTAGAGTATGTTTTAACTCTAGCATTATAATCACTTTTTATTAAACAACTCCTCAAGTCTCAAAGCTAGCAAGACTGGAGTCTCTTTCACGAAACAGTTTTTCTAAATTTTTAATAGTATTGATATATACCTACTAGCTCTGAGGTAGGTTAATTATTAAGTATAACTACTCATTTGTTTATCTGCATGCAAGATAAATTTCCTTCAAAATACTAAACATATTAAACATACCTTTAACATGATGAACCAAGGACACAATGTGTTGAATAAATGACTCTGAAGTGCTTTTGCTGGCTTGTGGCAACTTAATGTGGTCAAAGATGGATCGGAATTCTTGCTCCTTCTTGACAGAATGGACAAGTGTACTAGCAAGTAGCCTGTCTTTAGTCAAGGAAGCAGGTCTGGAACATATGGATAACACACACACAAACAAAATATACCACTGGTTTGAATATGAAAATAGTATGTTCAGAAAATAAGATAATTAACTGGAATATTAACTAACTACCCATAGATTAACTTACTGGGCATCAGTGTGGAATTACCTGTTAGAATCATCAAGAGGAACAGGTGCCATTTTGAGTTTGACTTCAGGACGATGGGAATCACTGGCTATCATTTTGATCCTAAGTGGGCTCTCCTCTCTGAAGGTAGACTTTTCTCGTGCATCCAGATTCTTGTGTAGAGGGGGACTGTAATCAAAGAGGTCTTTGAGCTTTTCAGACTTTACCTGCTCAGGTGACTGAGTTTCTTTCTTTACTGTTATTCTTTCAGAATTTTTGTCTTCTTCCTTGTGCTTATCTTTTGTAGAGCTAGGCCTTTCCACTACGTATCCAGTCTCTTTAAGTTTGTAATTTTTTTCTTCTCTAAATCCATCACTTTCTCTATTGCCTTTCAGTGAAACTTTTGACTTGTACTTGAGTCCTTCCTCCTCTGTATTCCGGTGAGATGCCGTAGCAAAACTTTTACCCTGATCTGCGAGGACTGACTTCCTGAATTGTCTATAATCCTCTGTTTCCTCTGTGTCATCCCCTTCTGAATCATTAAACTTTTGTTTTCCAGACTCTTTATCACTGAAGTAATCTAGAGCTTCCTGATCTTCCCATTCTCCCTCTGCCCTCCCTTTCTCTGATCCTTTCTCCTTTGGAGCCTCTTTATCCCTGTTATTACCCCTATCAAGCAGGAATACTCTAGACTCTTCATCTGTGAACCTGTGAATAAGCAAAGAAGAGGATAGTAACTCTGGATTGCAGTCATTGTGGATCATTTGCATATTTAAATGTGTTGCCCAATACCACAGGACCAGCAATGAAAAAAAAAATAACCCTACTGAAAAGTACATTCTCAAAATTCACTTTTAAAAATCATTGAAAGTATCCATATAGAACTCACGTACTGATTTTTTTAATAAACTTACATACTAGACTTCCTAAAGAATAAAAAGTAAAACCACCCTCAGGAACTTGTCCTATTTAGTCATACTCCACAATTCTGCCTGAACAAATTCAAATTTCTAGAAACAGCCTAAGTTTAATTTTTGCAGCTAAGAACCACTAATAGATAATACACATAAGAATTCAACTTATACTCAAACTTTCAGACTATTTCACTTATCTATTAATATAAATAAGAGCTCATATAAGTGGGCTTCAATGCAGTTGAGAGTATTTAATATTCATTATCTGAACCACAAAATAGCTCATACATACTTTGTTCTAGAAAATAATTTTTGGCAATATTAAGTAGAACTAAGTATCAGTTCAATAATAAATTCTAGGGTATAGAGTGCCATACCATAAATAGCATGCTTGCTCTATTTTCTCACTTTTAAGTCAATCACAGTACATTAAGCAACCAATTTTCATTATTAGCAACTCTCAACAACACTTGAAGAATTTTAATAAATTAGCTGTTTAAAATGTCCCTAGTCATTAGAAATACTATTATCTTTTCTATAGTCAAGTAGAAATTATTAAATATAGACAACTGCACTGTTTATAATGCCACACAATTAAGAACATGCAATACAACTGCATTATTTATATATGGCACACTAATGGTGAAAAGAACAAAGCAAGCTTTCAATGCTTGACACTTACAAAATTAATTTCTAAAAGTTCTTACAGTTATTGACAAAATGTATTATTGGTTATGCTTTAAGCTATTCAATTTCCCATCTATATTTTTAATTCTAGAGTAAAAATGGATAAAATTAAAAAGGAATATAAATTACTTTTCAAGTTACCAAATCAAATATAAGTAAAAGCAATCTAGATTATAATGAAGAAAGTCATGAGTAAAAAAACAGCTAAATACATTATCACAATTTTACATCTTAAAATTCCAAATAGAATTCAAAGAACAAAAACAATATTATAATCTAAATTCTCTACTTTAGTTTTTACCTTTTTAAGAACTTTCCAGTCTTTGCAGTTTCCTGATCTCCACCATCAGGATAAAATGAAGAACGTCCTCTAGTCTCATCTCTTGGCGCATTCTGTGGCGTGATTGTCTTTGCAGGGCTTCTTCGTGAAGGGATATGATGAATTGGACTATTCTGAGAAGGACTATATCGACTAGATCCATTTCCAACAGAACCAGACCCAGACCTTTCAGGACTATGCTGAATGGAATGTGAATGCTGAGAAGGGGTATTTTTTGCAGAGTGTACTGTACTGAGCATGGGGGCATCAGAACAAGATGAACTCTGACTAGGTGGTGTAGCAACAGGTGAAGGACTGTGTGGTGATCTGGGACTATTATCATAAGCTGAAAGGCCAGGCCAAATATCGCCAGATGTGGCTGATGACTTATTAAATTCATCAATAGATTCAGATGGGTCATGTTCAAATGTATCCTTCGGTTCCTCCTGTGATTTACTTTTCAAAGGACTCTCTTCTTGGGGTTCCCCTTCAGCTTTTTTGGTTTGCTTTTCCTGAGACCCTCGTCTTTTAGAGACAGGAGATTTGCTATATGGGGATGAGGAACGAGAAGAGGATGATCTTGGAGACCTAGAGGATCTGTATGACCGGCGAGATCTGCTTCGGGATCTTTGAGAAGAAACGGATCTTCTTTTTGGACTTCTGGAACGTGAACGACCTCGTCTAGGACTCCTAGAGTGCCTTCTATTCCAGACAGGTCTATAACCACCTCGATGATATCTACCTCCTCCTCCTTGATAATACCCTCTACCCCTTCCTCTGTACCCATAAGGTCGTCTCATTCCTCTATTATTTCTGTAATCTCGTCGATAATCTCTAGAATACATACGATCTCTACTACGAGATCTTGAATATGTTCTGGAACGAGACCTAGAACTAAAAATGAAATAAATAATCACTGCAAGAAAAATAAAGTATTCCATCCTACTGTTCTAAATACTTCCAGATGAATATAACATGTAAATAAATTATAAAATAAAAATATACATTTTCTAAAAATTCATTTGTATAAACATTTACTGTTTCCAATCAAAGAGCCTCACTTCTAATGTAAATATTGAGAGATAAATTAAAGACCTTAGGAATAAAGGCACAAAAAAGGGGGGGGGGGAACTGATGCATCCAACAATAGGGCATATTAACAAGTTATAGTACATCTATGCAGACACTTAAAAGTGATAGCATAAAACAATATTTAATGGCATACCATCATGTACAGTTTAAATGGGAGGAAGATTCCACAAAACTGTATCAGTGAGATACCATTGACTAAATATATATATAATATAAAGTTTGACCTAGAAAAAAATTAACTAGTATTAATTTGGAGGGGGGGTCAGAGACAGAGTCTCGCCCAGGCTGGAACACAGTGGTGGGATTCATAGCTCACTGCAGCCTAAAACTCCTGGGCTCAAATGATCTTCTTGCCTCAGCCTTCTGAGTAGCTGAGACTTCATACAGGCATGCACCACCATGCCCAGCTAGTTATTAATTCTTAATGAGATTACAGTCTCTTTCATTTTCAACTTCTGGTTTCTATTTTCTATGCTAAGTATATATTAATATTTGAAAAAAAATAACAGGTTAATCATTTTAAACAAAAAAATGAAATTATTCTTTCGTTAGAATTCAAAGAATCAGAGTCAAAATTGAGAAACTATAAAATATGCAGAGATCATTTACTGTCAAATAATTTTGTCTTACCACTATACTAATGAGGATCAAATAATTCTTATGTTCTCTAATTTATCTCTTGACATTATAGGTAAATACAAAGAAATCCACCATATTTTAGCATGGTACAGAAAAATTTGAGATCTAGAGTCAGACTATTTCAATCCATGCTCTGCTATTTACTAGCTTGTAACTTGGAAGATTCTCAATTCTCTAACTCTTAAAATAAGGATAATAGATCCATTTCACAGGGGTGGGGGTTTTTTTTTGTTTGTTTTTGAGACAGGGTCAGAGTATCACTGTTGCCCAGGTTGGAATGCAGTGGCATGATCACAGCTCACTGCAGCCTTGAAATCCTGGGCTCAAATGATCTTCCCACATCAGTCTCCTGAGTAACTAGGACTACAGGCACCCAGTTAATTTTTTAAATTTCTTTGTAGAGGCAAGGTCTCCCTACACTGCCCTGGCTGGTCTCAAACTTCTGGCCTCAAACAATCCTCTGAATATCAGCCTCCCAAAGTGCAGAGATTACAGGCCTGAACCACCATGGCTGGCCCATTTCACAGGGTTCTTTGAGAATAAAACATATTAATAGGTTTAGCACTGTGTCCGTATATAATAAATACTCAACAAATATTAGCTGATATTATCATTATTAAAAGAATTAAAAGCACATTAATTCACCTGTATCGCTTCTTTCTAGAATGTGATCTTGATCTTGATCGAGAACTAGACTGTGATCTCGACTTTGATCTTGAAGAATGTGATCTAGAATTGGAGCGACCCATTTCCCTTCTCCTAGTCAAATGAAAGAGCAAAAAAGGTTAAAATCAGAATATGATTGAAGTTTCACATTATTTACTTATTATCAGATACAAATTGAATTTTTAAAGTTTCTCAAAGTATATTATTCATCATTATCACTCTTTCTAATGAGCATTTAGAAAACAAGTCAATTATCCCTGACTACAACTGTTTTCACCTGCATGACAGGTATTGCATGCTGAAGACACAACAGAAGATTTCTATGGACTGCCCCACCTATGTGCCTCAATCCCAAAAGGCAGCCCCTGCAGAAGCCAGAAAGAGCAATGATATCAGACTGCAGCAGCATGTTAGATGTTATTCCATGCCCAATACAAATGCCTACCTCTCCTGTAAAAAAGATAAATAATATCAGAGTATTACAGATAAGGAACCTGAAATAAAGAAAATACAAGTGGCACAATACTGAAGAAAAATAAACCTACCAGACTGTCACCATAGTACTTTATGGCCTTGAAATGGGACTAAACTGACCACTCCATATACACAATACTGTGTGGAGTGATACTAAATAGTCTCCTAGTAGAATAAAGGTCAACTAAGTCTCTGAATAGCTGGAGCCATGGCTCTCCTCTCAGTAGTCCTGACTTCAGAATAAGAGTGGACTTATGTGATAATGCCTACTTCACCCTGTAGCTTTCTGGTAAGCAGACAAAAAAGGATAAAAGATAAAGAAATTGGAGAGATTACTGCAAGAAAGAGATGTTAGAACTATAAAAAAAAAAAAAAAGCCTGGGCACTTTTCTAAACACTACATGGTATCTAATGTTATAATCAGACCTCACTGGGTACAGAAATCAATGACTGTTAGAACTGATTTATCAGACCTACTCTTCACAGAATTGAAAAAAACATACATGTATAGCAAATCACTGCAAGTACAAACCAAATGTCACATTTTCAACTTTTCAATGATTTGTGAGACTATACAGTCTTAGCCTCCCAAGCTAATGTTTACTATACACAACTATTTCCAAATTTCCACTCACTCAAAGTAATCGTTTCTATAAAAATCAACTTACTACTAACAGCCTGCAATTCTCATACATTTAAATCATATCTCCTACAACCAAGTATCTTTGAAGGCACTTATTTTACCTATTCATACTTTGCTCAGTATAATAAGAGTATTTGGCGATGAGTTGAATCTTTTCAGAAGCAGCAATGAAAATGTATGCATACTTCCTCCTCAAAGAACGTAAATAACAAGTTCAAGATGTTTGAGATAGAGATTTATTTCAAAAACAAAACATAACTATCCTCTAATAGACAGACTATCACCTTTGTCTTCTACTCTTACTCTTCTTCTCAATCCCAAGTGAGTAAGAAATACACAAAGACAGAAGTAAAATATAGGTTCAGGGTTCAAAAAGGTAGAGTAAGAATTCCACCACACATATGAAGTAAGTTTAGCATTAACACAGGGAGGTGATACCTGGTAGAACACAAGACAAATTTGGTTTAGCAAATTTTGTCATTTTGACAACATAATGAAATAAGTAAAAATCACATTTACAGTCTGTAAAATAAGGTAGATGGACGATTGGGAATTGTGACACTCTATTGCTATTTGAATTCAAAATACTGCCCCTCCCAAACTTTTTAAAGAACATAAATATGTAATTTATATTCATTATGATCAGATTTAATCCAATAAATTGATACTATCCCACTATGAGATAATCGGACACACCAAAAGAAGAAACCAGAGCTGCAAATGATTTGCAATCCCAGCAATAAGGCAAAATTTATTTTCGTTGTATTAATCAGTAAGTAAAAGAAACATTAAGAGCTAGAGGTACTATGCTGTGCATATATCTCTAGAATCTCGGTTCTTAGTTGTTGAGGCTTTTTGGATGACAATTTCTATTAAATGAATCAGGAATCTGATAGGCTTTTCCAGTCCTCAGGATGTAGCATATGAGCCCAATAGGTAATTGTTGAATGAATGCATTCCCCAGAACCTGGGTAATTTTTAAAGCAGTAAATTTATTCTTAAAGGTTTGAGTTTTGCTTTGTTTTTTGATAGCCACACCCAAAACTTCAAAATGTGTGGTAAAAAAGCATACCTATCAAATAGTTAGCAATCCAAAATAAACTTGAATATGTTTTTTTCTGTCCTCCTGCAAAAATGTACTTGGAAAAAAGAGGCTAAGAATATAGCCTCTGCATTTAGACTACCTGGATTCAAATCCAGGTTAAGAAACTTCCTTGGTTGTGAGACACTGGGCAAATTCCTTCATGTCTCTGAGCCTCAGTTTCCTAAACTATAAAATGAAGAAAGTTGACAGTACATACTTTCACAGAATTGTAGTGGACTGAATTGATACATGTAATTCATTTAATATAATGTTTGGCACATAAAAAGCACTCAATTTGAATTACCTTAACACCAAAGTAGGGGGAAAAATTAAGTTATGAAACTCCTTTTGTTTACCTTAGGGAAGACGGATTAAGTAGCAGGGTTCTTTGTTTATTTTTAAATAGTTTTGTATATGTCCTAAATCTTTTGGTAGATGTGTTTATAGAAGTAGAAGCAGATATACAACCTAAAAGCAGGAAAAATAAAAGAATTCTTTTCCTAAAACTTAGCATATGACTTACTTCACCCGAGCCACCAATAAAAAAACAAACAAAAAAAGCCTCAGACCACATCACTTTTAATCATTCCAACTGAATCATCATTTCAGTGGTCACATTTTCTCAAATTAAGTCCAAACTGAAAGCTAGAAAAATGAATGCCATTTACCTTGGGTATATGCAGGATTAAGAAGTGAAGTCTTTGAGAAACTGTAAGATTCTTCCTGAAGAGAATGTTCTGAGAAATTAAACTCTAAATTCAAATTCCTAGCAAAGATAAAAAATATGAATTTGATTCATGGTAAATTAAATACCCACTATTTACAATGTATATATTGGGCAAGTAATGAAGCTATTAAAAGCACTTTTAATTTCAAGGAAGAGAAAACTGATTTAGGAAATAGTAAACTTTTAACAATAAAAGCTTATAACTCAATTTTTCTTTTTAATCACAATGCAGTAGTGCATCATGAAACTGACAGCATCTTAAACTTTTTAGTATCTGAATTCTAATTTGAGTAATTTGGGCTTTAGAAAACATAAGATATGCTGTCATTCCATCAGCAAATTCCAAAGTAATAGCTAACATAACCCCACTTCGGTATAATCAAAACATATCAAATCAGCCAGGCATGGTGGCACATGCCTGTAGTCCCAGCTACTCGGGAGGCTGAGGCAGGAGGATCGCTTGAGCCCAGAAGTTTGAGGTTGCTGTGAGCTAGGCTGACGCCATGGCACTCACTCTAGCCTAGGCAAGAAAGCGAGACTCTGTCTCAAAAAAAAAAAAAAAAAACATATCATGTGGCTAGGCCCTGTGGCCCAAGACTGAAGTTTCAACTATTTGGGAGTCTGAAATGAGAGTAATGTTTTGAGCCCAGGAGTATGAGGCTGCAGTATGCAATAATCACGCCTGTAAATAGCCATCACACTCCAGCATGGGCAACACAGTGAGACCCCATCTCAAAAAGAAAAGAAAATATGTATCCTGTAGCTAACACATTCATGTTCTAGTTTTTAACACCTAAAATATAACAGTTCACTTTAATGCTCTGCTAGCTACTTATTCTCTCTTGGCACTCATATAACTTTCATTAAGTTTCATTTAAAAGTGATTTTTAAAAATTCACAGTTAACTCTAAACTTTGTGCCTAAAAGCATTTTGAGACATGTACATTCAAATAAAAGGTCCGCAATGAAACAAATACCTATGGAAAGCCAACTTATTACTATGCAAATTTAAATTTGCACAATATTAAATAGCAATAGCAAAAAGGTTAGCCTCTCAAATATTCACTATCAATTATGTGCAAAGGATAGTCCAAAACCACCAGGAGAGTAGAAACTAAATACAATATTAATATATACCAGCACTCAAAGAATTCATAAACAAGTTTAAATGAAAAAACATACATTAAAATGAAAATCCATGAATGTTACCAAGATCCAATTTTTAAAAATGAAGTAAGATTGGAAATATAAAGAAGAAATAAGATTAAATTGGTAAGTAAAGAATAGTATCCCCTAAATACCCATGGCCCTACAACAGGGGAGATTAAAAAAGACTTGAGTTGGGAGGCTGAGGCAGGAGTATTGCTTGAGCTCAGGAGTTCAAGACCAGCCTGAACAAGAGTGAGACCCCATCTCTATTAAAAAACAGAAAAATTAGTCCTGGCACGCTCCTGTAGTCCCAGCTACTCCAGGAGGCTGGAGCAACAGGGTCGCTTGAGCCCAGGAGTTTGAGGCTGCAGTGCACTGTGATGATGCCACTGCACTCTACCCAAAGTGACACAGTGAGACTTCATCTCAAAAAAAAAATAAATAAATAAATAAGACTTGAGATTTGGGTTAGAAAAAGGACTCAAAAAAATAAAAAGGACTTGAGGTTCAGGTTAGAGGAATAGAATCTAGTAATAAGGGAAACATAATAAAAAGTAGCAAAAAAAAGAAAAAAAAGAAAAAAGAAAAGCCAAGCAAGTCTAAAGTACAGAAAAAAAAGGATTTCTAAGGGCATACAAGTTTAGTTTTTAAAATATCAAAATCCCCAAGTGGGCAGAGAAAAAATGCCAATCTTCTAAACTGGTGCAGCGTTATGAAACTTTATTCTGACCTAGAAGTCACTACTACTGATTCACTGCTGGAAACAATACAAGGCTCATTTTAGCTAACAATTCCCCTTAAAAATTCCAAAGGCTAATTATTTCTGTATATCCAGATAATAATCAACTGCCACATCTCTTTACCTCCAAGTCATGATTTTTTTGAAGTTCCATGAAAATATACACTAGAAATGAAAAACTGAGGGAAGAAGAAATGTACGCTGTTAGAGCAATGGGTATATATTCTTATTCACAAGTATCCACACCAAGAGAACCCAAATGATATATAAAATGTGATACACGTTAGTCAGTATCAAAGACTATGACCAGCTCACCTAATTTTTTTTAAAAAAAGAAAGTCTATATATAAAGCACTATGCTAGGTAATAGGAGACATGCCTATGTAAGAAGTCTTGCCCTCCAAAAACCATACAGAACAGATATTAGCAACAAATATTAATAGTAAATAAACACCTAACGCGATGCGTCAAAAACTGTGCAGCATGGCGGGTAGCACCTGTTATCCCAGCACTTTGGGAAACTGAGGCAGGAGGATTGCTTGAGGCCAGGAGTTGGATACTGATCTGGGCAACATAGTGAGACCCCACCTCTACGAAAAATTTTAAATGTTAGCCAGGTGTGGTGGCTCACACCTGTAGTCCTAGATATTCAGGAGGCTGAGGCAAGAGAACCACTTGCACTGTGATCAAGAAGTTTAGAATATGAGATGAAGTAGAAGCTGAGATGAAGCAGAAGCAGAAGGAATAGACCAGAGTTAAGTATGACAGAATAAGGAGTCTAGATTTTACTCTAATGGGAAATTCTGGAAGGATTTGCTCACGGGAGTCACACCATCTGATTTACGTTTAAGATGGCTGATGCAGAAGATAAACAGCAATGAAAAAAAAAAAGGCAAATACAGGATCTGGTTTGTAAGTACAGTAAACATGACTTGCTTATAGATTGCTAGTGGTGTGAAGCACAGAGAGGAAAAAAGAAAAATCAATAGTGGCCTTAGGTTTTGGATTAAGCATGTGGGAGAAGCACCAAGTAGGAGGAAGAAAACGAGATGTGCTTGCCCTCTTTATGCCCAAAGAGTGTAAATGTTTCATCCAAAATTTGACTGATATCTCCTAACTCCAACTCCTGTGCTCTCTCCCAACACCCAAATATGTACCTGACTGGGTCAAAACCCAAACATGGAATTCAAAAATGCCAAATTAATCTTCCCTTTATCATAACCAAGATCACTTACTAACAGATTCCACTTCTAAATAGAGAATAAATTGCCTCATATATACCTTTATGCAGTCGATTCACCAACCAACAAGGAACACACTAATAAATCAAGCTTTATTTTTTTAAATAAAGTTTTAAAATATCTTAATGGATACACTATGTTTTATGGTATAATACATAATGACCAGCTAGAAAACAACTGATCAAAGCAAAGAAACTAGTCCCAACAAAATAGAGATAAAGCCACCCAAAATGGATTTTTTCTTTTTAAAGATACAGGGTCCTGCTTGCTTACCCAAGCTGGAGTGCAGTGGCACGATCAGTCATAGCTCACTAACTCTTGGGCTCAAATGATCCTCCTGGCTCAGCCTTCCAAGTAGATAGGATGACAGGCACCCACCACCATGCCTGGCTAAACTGTTTTCTAAATTATTTTCAGAGACAGGGTCTATGTTGCCCAGGCTGGTCTCCAACTCCTGGCCTCAAGTGATTCCACTGCTCAGGCTGTCCCAAAGTGCTGGGATTACAAACATGAGCTACTGTGCCTGGCCCAAAATGGATGCTTTAAGGTTACCACTTCAAGTATACCTGAACCAAGGCTTCATTTTAGCAGACTCAAAAGTTTGGTCACCAAATTGTTGTAAACAAATTATTCACAGCTTTTAAAATTCTAAAAACAATAGTTCATGACTATTATTCCAGTAGACAAAAGTCTTGGCTCAACCATTAACTAGCTGCCCAACACTAGACAAGTTCAGCTTCAATTTCTACATATGTAAAATAAGGCTACTGATGGTATTTAGAGGTTTAAGGTTAAGTGAACTACTGAATGTAAACAGCTTAATTAATGTCTGACACATGGCATGCACCCTAGCAGCAGCTTATTATTGATAAACCTTGTTTGTGGCAGTCTAAGTTCACTTCAAATGATTCTTGTATGGAATGTTACTCTGATACAGCATTAATCAGCATCATATAAAAATCTTTCCAGAAATGCTTATTAAAATGTCTGGAATTTGGCTTTAAAATACTCTGAAAGCCAGGCCAGTGGCACACACCTGCACTCCCAGCTACTGAGGAGGCTAAGGCCAGAGGATCACTTGGGCCCAAGAGTTCAGTTTAGGCAACATAGTGAAATGACATCTCTTTAAAAAAAATAATAAACAAGATTGGTACAACGCTGGTAATCAAACCTAGATGATGAGAACATGGCAGGAGTTCACTAAACTATTCTACTTTTGTGCCTGAGAAAATTTCCATAATTAAAAGCTTTAAAAAAAAAAAGAAGAAAAAAAGTTTAGTCACAAAACATTCTTAGTCCAGTTGTTTTTGCTAAAAGGAGTGCAGAACTAAGAATCAGAATACCTGCATTCTAGACCAGGTACCACTCTCTAGTTTAAATAAATTCATATCCTACAAGTACAATCTAAATATATTTATACTTACTACCGGGAGATGTTGGTACTCTTGATTCCCTTATCTACTCACTTGTTAAACAACAAATCACTGTAAATTACACAGTGATTGTAGTTGCTGGAAACTCCCCAATCTACACTCTAAAAGAACTGAGAAAACTTTCTCCATCTTTACAAGTCTTCTCATTACACAGTTAACCTAATACAGCTTGCTGCCCACAAAAGTTGTTTAATAAATTCAACTAGACCTGAGCCTGCCAGTGGGTAGTACTTTTTACAGATCTGTCACCAAGTCCTAAAATACTATTCTTCAAAGTCAAGAATGGGCTCGAGCTAACATCTCCTTTGTTACCATTTTAATTATCGAAATGAAGGGAGACTGCGGTGTTTATCACCATGTAATGGTGAAAGTGTGAAATCCTAAAACAAGACGCTACAAGCCATCAGCAGACAGGTTTTAGATTGATTAGCGTGAGCTACTTTAAACACACAATCCCTCTCCCATCAAATTATTTACCTTGAATTGTTTAGAATCACAAAAAAATGCAAATAAATTTGTAGCATTTTTCCTATGTAAAGGTTCTTTATTGTCTAAACAGTAGCCTAACTTTTCCAACAACTAGAGTCAAACTGGAATGAGAATTCACACGAGGAACAAGAAATTGTTTTGCTTTCTAATACCAAAAAATTTAAGACTCTGCTACAACAGGATACAAGACTGAAGCACTTAATCTTTTTTCATCAATGTTAGCCACATTTACTTTCAACGTTAGTCTTAATTTTTTCCAATTCTAAGACACTTTTTAAAAAGTTTCATGTAGAAAAGTAGTGCTGGTACTGCTGCTGCTTCATTCGAAAGAGATAAATCAAGACAATTTATGGATTCAAAATGAGAGCAAAGTTCGTAACCTCAATTCACCACTCCCATCCCATTTATCCCACCAGCTGTCTACCTATCATGGCTGAAACATTTCTGACACAACTTAATAAGCTAAATTACTTGCTCAAAAGACATGGCTTCGCTCGGACTAATCGAGAACTGCACTTTCAGCCACTTTCAGCCTCGGGGTGGCAGGGCCTTAGACCGTCGACTACAACCCGATCCTCATGCTAGGAAGCAATGACTGGGCACTAACTAAAACAACAAGGAGTTCGCGTTCGCTTCTAGACAGTGGGTTGCCAAGGAGACCAAGATCGTCGACCCTGGAGAAAACATTCCTACAACACCAAGGACAGAAAGCGGGTGCCAGGACATAACAGGATCTTAAATTCGAGTAACAAAAATGAGGCGAAAACTGACGGGTAGTTCGAAGCAGGTTTAGGATTTAAAGGGTACAGAGTTTAAAGACAACGCGAAGAGGTCAACCTACCCAACGCACTTTTCTGCAGATCAGTTATTTTATCAAGGCCCCAAAACGGCCGGGAAGAAAGGTAGCGCTCCCAGCCAATGAGAAGCCGACACAAGTTGCACCTCTGGCGGCAGCGGGCGCTGTGGGCGGGGAGAGAGAAAGGAACAAGCGCGCGTGCGCAGAGCGTTCAGTCGGGCGCGCGCAGGGGTCCGGACCGAAGGAATGGGGGAAGGGTAGAAGAGGGAGATATGCGCACGCGCAGAGGAGGCCGCGCGGTCTCCGGGTCTCGAGCCAGGTTCACAACCGCGCGCGCACACCGTTCGCATTGCTCACCCCAACCCCCCACCTTTTCAGTCCGCAGTGCCTCAAAAACCTGAGGGAAGCTGACGGAAAATCGCATAAATAACGGCGCAGGGTCTCCTGGGTTCTCCTATCGCTGCCAACCCGTCAACACCCACAAAAGAGTCAACAATATTGGCCCGTCCTCGGTATTCACTGCCCTTTAAGTAATTTGAACGCGGCGTAAGGCCTACCTGACACGCCAAACACGATTCCCAGGACTTATCTCCGTTGTAACTACACAGCGGCCATTTCCCGACTCGAGAACGAGAGGAAAACCATAGAGGTATCTTCGACGCGCTAGCTCGTTTCCGTCACTTCCGATGGAGGCGTGGCCTTAGTGCCGCTAAATATCTGGGCAAGCCCCGCCCACCCTTCCGCCCTAGACCGGCTCCCTGGCCGTGATCAAGATGTTGCCTGAGGCTTTCTGGGAAGTCTCGTGGTTGGGTTGGTCTCGCGCGAAGATTGGCGGCTCCGCCCTCCCGCCGGTAGCGAGCCCCTTGGCCCGGGTGGCGGTAGAAGGCGGGGCTGGTGTTTTGCTAGGCCTTAAGTTGGCAGGGGTGTGGGGTAGGGTATTGCCTCGTTTTGAGGGGAACCCTCTGGACCTCATCATCGTCCGCACTTTTGACTGCAGTTAGCTCGTCTGGGACATTCTTTCTGTGGGGCCGGCTAAAACCAGGACAAAAATAAAAAGAATCTCACAATGAGGAAACGACACTTAGAAGGGAAGAGGCGACGGTGATCGTAGACCCGCGGCTCCCTCTGCGAGAAACGCTTGCATTTCTTCCTCTAGGACGCCTCGCTGGAGACTAGGAAGTGTCGCTTTTGATTTGCTATTAAATGTGCCAAACGCATTTAGTTGAAAAATTGTCCGGTCTAAATCCCTTTCCTGAGTGGCCCTGATCGACTCAGAGTTCACGCGAGGGATTAAGGCTTAGGCTGTCTGCGAGATTGCGCCTTAGGATCGCTTTCTTGCGACGTGGTTAGAGCAGCTCACAAAGCGCGTCAGCAGAAGTTGGCATAAGCATAAAAATAAAGAACTGGAGCAGTTATGCCTTCAGCCTGCAACAAAGATTTCATGCCGGCCCAGGAACACAGACCTACATAGCTTGGTCCGCCAAAATTATAAATCACATTTAATTTGAACAGAATTTCAAATAAGAGCCTTAACACATTTTCAACTAATACTGATCTGAGCTGCACCTTCTTCCTTAAGGCCTAAAACTGTTATTACTTTGATGTTTAGGGACGTTAACTACCTTGAAGAATTTTAAAGTTGTAATTAGCAAACCAGTCTTCTGTCAGTTTAATCTAGTACTGGGCCCTGGCTGTGAATTTAACCCTGTGCTTAGGGCATTTTCTCCTCAATCCAATTTACAGTTCAACTAGGAAAAGTACCTCATTTTCATGGAATCAATCCTAGGTTTTCTTTTATTGTAGTCTGCCCATCACCTCCCTCAGGATGTGGAAGTCGAATCTTTGGCCCCATGTTGTGCACTGATAGGTCCCAAGCATTTAATAGATTGCTCAGTAAATACTTGGTGAGTAAGTGAACTATATAAAAAAAAAACTACCCATTAATGGCTGAATACAACCCTGCTATTCTGCATGTTTTGGGGGGGAATCCTTCAGGCTAATAGCTCCTATCCATTTATTCAAAGCACACCAAAATATGACTGGAGTGGCAGGGCGTGGTGGCTCACGCCTGTAATCCTAGCACTCTGGGAGGCCGAGGCTGGCGGGTCGTTTGAGCCTCAGGAGTTGGAGACGAGCCTGAGCAATAGTGAGACCCGGTCTCTACTAAAAAAAAATAGAAAGAAATTAGCTGGACAACTAAAATACATATATAATTATTATATATATATATAATATATATATAAATAAAATAGCCAGGCATGGTGACACAATGCCTGTAGTTCCAGATACTCTGGAGGCTGAGGCAGGAGGATCACTTGAGCCCAGGAGTTTGAGGTTGCTGTGAGCTAGGCTGACACCACCGCACTCACTCTAGCCCAGGGAACAGAGTGAGACTGTCTCCAAAAAAAAAAAAATATGACTGGAGTGCTTTCAAAGCTGGGATATTATCTTAAACCTTCCTCTACAATTCTATTGCAAGTGTGTTGAAAATGAAGTCATCTAAGATAATATGACTGTGATTTCAAATAACTTGTGGTAATAACAAAGGAGGAGACACATTGGAAGAAACCTTTTAATAAATGGAAATGATCCAGACTTCCCTTGAACTATGTCCATTTGATATGTGATAACTTTCTTTACCAATGTCTAAAGTTGGAGGTTTTTGAATTTAGATGTTTTATGTACAATGTATTGTCTTATTTTCAAAACCTGAAATTCCACCATTACTGATTTATACTTTGTATTGAAAATTATTTCCTATTAAAATACAAATGAGCATAGGAAAAAAGCATAGGAAAAAAAGCATAGGAAAAAAATCAAGAGCATAGGAAAAAAATCATAGGAAAAGAGCATAGGAAAAAAATCAAGAGCCTATTTAACAAATAGACATTGCATAAAAATAGAATATTGGCCAGACAAGGTTGCTTAGGCCTATAATCCCAATGCTTTGGGAGGCCTAGGCAAGAGGATAGCTTAAGGCCAAGAGTTCAAGAACAGCCTGGGAAACAGCAAGACCTTCTCTCTTCAGAAAATTTTTTAAAAATTAGCTATGTGTGGTGGTGTGCACCTGTAGTCCCAGCTACTTTGGAGGCTTAGGTGGGAGGATCAATTGAGCACAGGAGTTGGAGGCTGCAATAGATCATGCCACTATACTCCAGCCTGGGCAACAGAGCAAGACTCTGTTTCTGAAAAAAATAAAAATGATCCCTAGAAGGAACATAAATTGTAAAGAAATGACCAACTTTACTAATAAGAAACAAAAAGAATGCTAAGATAATATTTTACACCTCATAAATCAGTAAACTAATTTTAATTTCTAGGTCACTGACAGTTTATGGTGAATATGTTTATAAAACTCTTTCCTGAGAGGTACTGTTTTTGTTTTGGTTTGAAATAATTGAAAGAGAGAATTGGAGAAGACTGTATATTTGAAAGGACAAGGACAAGAATATAGGAATGAGAATGAAATTGGAAGTCTAGACTACTAAGGCAAGCTACCTCACTCTACCAGTTTTGTTTGGTTTGGTTTGTTTGTCTTTTTAGGCTGAACAACATCTGAACTGTTTTCCTATTTAGAAAAACCGAAGCTAAGTGAGAATTTAGAGTCTCACTCTTCCCACTCCCTGAGAATAGTGGCATTGGGAACCGAACAGTAGTAGTGAGAAGCAGTTCAGAGAGGAAATAAAGCCAACCAAGATTCCCTAACTAGTGTGTTGGTGGTATGGCTGTAGTTTGGCTGTAGTTCTAGTTGCTTGGCCTCCATTGACTCCTATCCCCAGGCTTTGCATTGATTCCTTTTTTGTTTGTTGTTTTTTTTTTTTTAGTTGTGACATTAATAAAATATGTATTAATTATTTGAGTTAGCTGATATCCTTCCAGCAAATTTCTTCTGGGTGACTCAGAGTTGGTTTCTGTTAGTCACAAAGAACTCTGAATTCCGTGTCACAGTTTTAAGTAGAAGCAGGACAATTTTCCAAAGAGTCTGGCATTTTTCCAAATCTGAACCAATGAAATAAACAGTTCCTCTAGTCTAATCTATTTCACATTTCTGGTGGTGAACACAAATTGACTTGGCTTTTATTTCCCCCTTAATCTATCCCATTTTACCTACTAAGGGTGTAGAATGTTTTATTTTATTTAAAATATCTTAATTTTTTAATTTTAATTTTATTTTGGCTTAAAATTACCAAAATTATTTATTTAACAATTATGTATTACAGTGTTGTTCCTTAATATTCATCTGTCCATTTTGAAAAAAATAACTAAAATCTCAAAATGTGACTGTTAACTGTTTTTCCTAAGTCCTACCATGATTAATGTGCTTTTCCAGAAAGCTTATCACAACAAATGGAACATTTCTTTCAAAGTTTTCATAAGAAATCTTTGCCCCCAAATTATGCCAGCTTTCTGTCTAATGTAACCACTAAAGAACAGAGAGAAAAACCTGCTAAAATGAGGCCATAGACTTATGACTAGATTTCACCCAGGAAATCTTTTCTTCCTTAAGAGAGGTTATACGAGCAACAGAACACCTCCTTCTTTTAAAGCTGTTACCCAGTTGCAAACAGATATGTCTGACTGCCCCCTATAAAGTCTAAATGTTTAGTTTTACCCAAACAATTAAATGATTTATCTCACAAACAAAGGGCAAAAACCATGTAAGCAAAGGGCTACCACCAATAGTGCTATCCAGAGGTAGTAAAATATAGTATGGAGTATGGGCAAAACGTTTGCTCTCCAGATGTCTTGGTGTGCTGAAATTTTAGCCTGATTGCTTATTTTGAAAAAACTAAAAATTAATCCTGGCTAGAGAAGGAGTTACATTGTTATTGCCAAGCCCTAATACTGGTTTTTCTGAAAGTGTGATGCAAGATCCACCTCAAGAGAGTAACCTGGGTTGTTTATTTTAAGAGTAGATCTCTGAGTCTCATTACACACTTATTGAGGCAGAAACCATGGAGGTAGGCCTACACACTGAAGTTTGAGAACTACTGATTTGTTGAATACCTATAATATTCTAGGTATTATAGGACTACAAAGCAGGACAAGATATCACTGCTGTTTCTCTATTGGAACTCAAAAATCTAGTAAAGATAGGGTGTAACTCCCAAAACAAAGGGAACAAAAAGACAGCTACATGGAAGCAAATGCAAATGGTGACAGAAGGAAGAACTAGCCTTTAAAGAATGAATGGGATTTCACCTCATCATTCATTTATGTATTTAACCAAACATGCGTGAAGGATGTGCCATTTACAGATACTGAGCCTGGTGCTTGGAATGGAGCAATGGTGAAGGCTTAAGGCTGACACTGCTAACAAGAAGGCTGCTACTTTGTGAAGGAGACAGAAGGCACATGAAACAGACACAATATTTAGGAAGTCTGGTATCCATAAGGAAATGATAGAGTCAAAGAGGAAGACCTACATTAGACAGGGTGCTTCAGCAGGGAAAGCCCTTGTGAGGATATGAGATTTAGGAGAAGGCTTAAAGGTAAAAAGTAGGCAAAATAGAAGGAAGGGCATTCTAGGTAGAGGGACTGACCTGTACAAAATCCTCAGGGCAGAAAATTGCTGGGCATTTATGGAACTGAAAGAGTAGCAGTGGGCATAATGAATCAGGAGGGAGATGGTTCAAGGTAAGGGTAAAGGTAAAGGCAGGGGTGGGACATGAAAAGCCTCTAGGCCCGGTGCGGTGGCTCACGCCTGTAATCCTAGCACTCTGGGAGGCCGCGGTGGGTGGATTGCTCGAGGTCAGGAGTTCAAAACCAGCCTGAGCAAGAGCGAGACCCCTTCTCTACTATAAAGAAATTAATTGGCCAACTAATATATATAGAAAAAATCAGCCGGGCATGGTGGTGCATGCCTGTAGTCCCAGCTACTCGGGAGGCTGAGGCAGAAGGATTGCTTGAACTCAGGAGTTTGAGGTTGCTGTGAGCTAGGCTGACGCCATGGTACTCA